GGCCAGCACTCGGGCCGGTACCCCGTCTGGCCCAGGGGCGGTGTTCTTGGAACGGATCCGTAGAACAGCTGCCCCTACCTCCGAATCCCGGACGGGCGGAACATTATCCTCCCCGTGCTCCCCGTCGTCTCCGGCCAGGGAGGCCATCGACGGGGGAGTGTGTTCCGCCCGTTGTGGGAAAAGGCCCTCAACCACTTCTCGCAGGAAGCTGGGCTGGAGAGTCTCCGTAAGGGGGGGGCCCGACGCGCGGAGCTTTTGTCGCACCGCGCGGTAAGGGCGACCCCAGGGGTCACGATTAAGACCCTCCAGCATCTCCTGTCTCTTTTCTTCTTTGGCGCGGCTAATGGCCAGCTTCAGAGTTTTCCGCGCCCGTCGGTACTCCTCATGAAGCCGGTCCTCCTCACCGTCTCCACGGTGACACCGCCGACTGCGCGTGTAGGACCTCCGGGCACGTGTACTGGCCGCACGGAGGTCCGCCAGCTCCTGGGACCACCAGTAGACCTCCTTCCTTGGAGGCCGACGACCTCGAATGCGGGGCATGGCCGCATCGCATACATGCGTCATCGCATCGCGAAAGCGACCAGCCCCCACGTCGACCTCCTCGGTCGGAGCCTGAGGAGACAGCCACGAGTGAATTATGGCTGCCTCCTCTAGTAGGTCCCGGTTCAGTCTGGCAACAGCCCACCGCGGAAAGCGGGATAAACGCCGCGCCACGTGACCCCTACTGGAGTCCTGGGTCCGGGAGAGCTCAAATCGGATATACAGGTGATCCGAGAGCGTCTCAACCTCTTCCAGGACACGCAAGTTCCTTACTCGTGCGGCGAGGGCAGGGGTAGCGAACGAGAGGTCCACTATCGACCCCCCCTGCTGACGCACGCACGTGTTGGTGGAGCCTCTGTTGAGAAGACAGAGGCCCACCGAGGCCGCCCACTCCTCTACGGCCTCGCCCCTTGCGTCCGTCCTGGGGGAACCCCACGCAATGGACTTTGCGTTGAAGTCCCCCAGCACAAGGACGTGCCCAGACGCTAGTAGCCTTATCGAGGTCTCCAAGCTGGTTAGGAAAACCTCGAAGTCGTTCAAACTCCGGTTGGGGGAGAAATAAACACCATATATGGTGATCCCCCCCCCACTCGATGGCAACATATCCAGTGCCCTTGTCTCTTAGCGACAAGGGCGGGGAATGAGCCGTCGTGGAACCGACGACTGCCACGGAGCCGTCCCAGTCACCCATCCAGTTTGGACGGGGAGGGACAGAATAGGGCTCCGCGACTACGGCAACACCTATCGACCACTGTGCCATGGTTTGCAGGAAGAGATCCTGCGCTGCGGCACAGTGGTTCAGGTTCGTCTGGACCAGGAGGTTGGAGACTCGATCCATTACTGGATCGTCTCTACAATCTCCTCCATGGGCGACGACGTCGACGCAATATTGACGTCGGGGGTAGCCTGGATCGACTGGCTAGCCCCTGACGTCTGCCGAGAACTGCGGGGAGGCTTGCAGCCTCTCTGCCCCATCTGGTGATTGGCGGGCTTATTGCCCGCCGCACACGCTGGGCAGTGAGGGGCGGCAGAGCATTCTGCCGCCTTATGCCCCGGTTGACCGCAGCGGAAACACAGTCCGCCGCAGTCAAAACAGCTGTCGCACTTGACGCGCGTGTGTCCCGATGCTGTCTCAGGCCGACAGGCATTTGTAGCACCTCATCGGTCTCGCCGCCAGGACTGTGATCCTGGCGCTCACGAAACCGATGAGCAGCCTGCCGGCGTCGGCCAATACTTTGGCCGACGCTACGGGACAACTGACCCACACGGCGCCAAGCCCTCCTGGACCGGGGCGGATGGAGCCGACCCTGACGTTGTCCGCGCTGCACCCCGTCTTCTCCCGGATTACAGCGCGGATATCTTCGGCCGTTACGGAGTCGTCCAGGCCCGAGATGCGCAGCTCTGCGCACTTAGTAGGCCTGGCGATCTTTACACCATCCGTAGCTGTAAAGAGTCCCCGCAGCTTCTCGGCAAACGAGTCTGCCGTCTTAGCGCCTTCAGCCCCAGGGAACTCGAGTACTCGAGCTCCCGTCTGGGCGAGGCGCATCCTGACCCCCACCGTCCCAAAATCGGTGGCGAGGCTGTCCCGGGCCTTTTTGAAGACGGCCGCGTAGGACAGCCCGCCGTCAGCCGCCTCCGGGGACACGGTTACCACTACAGCCGCGGTTTTGGGCGGCTGCAGCTTCCGCGGCCTCTTTGCAGAGGCCGTTGCCACCGGTGGCGAAGGCAGGGCTTGGGCTGCTTTTTGGGCAGCCCTTCTGGCCCGCCTTCGGGACTTCTTGGAGCCCCTCGCCTCCTGCCAACCCTCGTTGGAGGGGGCAGGTGCGGAGGGGCCCGGCAGGGGTGTCGGAGTGGGGAGCGGAGGGAATGCCACTCCGCTCCTCGGCGCCGATTTAGGCCCCGTCTTGGCCGGCACTTTGGCCTGCGCCTTGGCCGGCGCCTGGGACGGTGCCTTGGCCGGCGCCTGGGCCGGTGCCTTGGCCCCCCTCCTCGGCTTTTGTGGAGCCGATGGAGTAGGGGCAGACGCCGCCGCCGCGTAAGAGACGCGGCCTCCCACCACGGGGAGCGCGGTCGGAGCGGCGGCCTTAGGCCGCTGTGCCGACGCGAGCGGGGGGCGCATAATCGGCGCAGGGGGCAGTCTCGCCTCCAGGCCAGCCAGGCGTCCGTCCAGCATATTCCCAACTGCGATGAGGATTTCTCGCAGTTGGGAGTCAAATGCCCCTGAGTTGGTGGTAGGGGCAGGCTGGGACGCGGACGGGGCTTCCCGCTCGGGGAGGTTCGCCTGGAAGCGGGCGAACTGAGCGCTCAGCTCGTTCACCCGCTCCGTCAGCCTCTCGTTGGCCAACTGCAGGCGAGACACATCGCCCACTAGGCCCTCCACGACCTCCGACAAAGCGGAGGAGGAGTCCTTAAGGGCCCTCACAAACGAGCCCTTAAGGTTAACGGACTTGGTGGCCACCTTGTGAATGACGGCCACCGCCGCTTTCGCCCTCTCCTGCACGGACACGGGAGCCTGGGGGGCATTTCCCCCCACCGGCTCCCGAACCTTGAGCAGGAGATCCGCGATCTCCTCCTCCGCTACGGCCTCGCCGTCCACCCGTACACTTCTGTACGACTCCGCGTTGGAGAACGCGGAGCCTGACGGGATCGCGACCGAGGCCGGTTTGCGTGCCCTCCCTCGGCGGCTGCTTGCCACTTTGGGTGGCATCACTTCGCCGGACGTGTCGGTCTCCACTTCCCTGGAGCGTCCGCGTTTCCGGCTGTCGCTTCGTTCCGCCTCCATGGCCTCCGCGCCATCCGACGAAACGGCGGATCCGGAACGAATACGGTCCGATGCTCTTCGGCTCCCAGAGACCAGAGTCAGACTGACCTCTGGGAGCCCCATCGAGATAGGCGTTCCCGACGCCACCTCACCCTCAGTGGACGACCCATCGACTCCACTGTTCTGCTTCTCCTTCCTTCCCTTCGTTTTTTTCGTTTCCGTTAGACTTGCCTTCTGTTGTTGGTTATTTCCGATCGTTTTCTTTTGGTTTGAGTTTTGAATTTTATCCATTATAAATCCCACGAGTGGGGGAGAACTAAAGGTCCACCCGGGCAGAGATCCCCCATTACCCGGGCAAGCGTCAGTTTTTAACCCAACCGAGGGGTCCGCAGGTACCTCGGCTTGGAGTGCGCTCGCGACACAAACCCTATACCAACCCGTCTGGCCAGCGTGATATAGTAGGCCAAAGCCTCCATTCTAAGGAGAGGCCTATGTCCAGCAGTGGATAATTAAAGGCTGTTGATGATGACTGTACTTAATGAAATACTTATTGTAAATCTTTATTTATTGAAAGCAGATTTAAGTAGAAAAATAATAAAGAAGGTATTTTATCATTAAATGTGTAAATTTCAAAGAAATATTTAGGTGAAGGTGCATAAGTACAAGGAGAATGACCGATGTTTTTAAATAATATATATTAATAGTCTTTAGATACAGATTAATTAACAGTTAAAACAAATAGTCTGAAGAAATCTATTAGCTAAATTGAATAAATGGAATGGAACGGAAATTCCCCACAACAAGTATTACGAAATAAGGAAATCACCCCTAGCGGTAAGTTTGTGAGATAAATAAAATGTTAGTAAAATATTTTGAGGTTAATGGCAATGGAATCGAATAAGATAGCAGAAGGAAAGAAAACACATCGGCTTTTTCTGAGTTACATCAGATTTCAGGCACTTAGGAACATAGCAAAAGTATCACGAGGCTAAGGCTTTAAATATTATTATAAAGTCTATTAATTAATTAGGTATATTTAAAAATAGTATTTAAAAAAATGGTATACTTCTGGCCTTTGACACAACACACTCAATATCCAAATTGACTTAATAGAAACTTTAGAATTAATTTGATAATTGGATACACATTTCAAAAAATCTACTTCTCAAGTCATATGATTAGTGAACATACTTCGAATTATTATTTTAGAAACGTGTTTATATATTTTTATATTATTTATAACATTGTTATGTAATAAAATTGCGCTATTTTGTTTTCTAAGTGCATGCAAAGTATTTTCAAATCTATAAAATAAGTTTATACAAAAAATCAATGGTTCTACACCACAAACCGTGGAAGTTTAAAAGACTACAGTAAATGAATAAACTCGCAAGCGCACAGTTACCCTCTTTATAAATGCAATTTCATGCAAGTGTGGGATGACGTGTCCGCAAACAACGTCAAACTCATGTGTAATCTAATAAAGGCCTTACTCAAGGTTAAGTACACATGAAAATTTAACGCAAGGACAACTTGCACGACGCGGTGTAGGCTCACATAGCGTCAATTAACCTGTCAAACTTTAAAATATGCATTGACGCTCTTGATTACTTAATAGGTTTCCTTTTGACGAAAAATTCAGTCACACTCAGTATTAAATATCTCGATCTTCAATACAGTCCTAAAGTATTCTTCCACAATGGCGTACTATACTAGTAATAGTTTATTTCCTACTACTGTACCAATACCTAACGGTTTTCCGGTTCAAATAGATAAGAAACCGAAAAACAAAATCATATTTCTCGACGTTACTCCAGTCCGGACCCCAGTAAAACCCATCTCACGAAATTCAATAGCCCCGATGAGAAATAACCTCATAGACGTTAAGTTTTCCAATGACATAATCTACGAAAATATTAAACCAGTATTCACAATTCTGAGAATAATGGGTGTCCTGCCAATTACTAGACCGACTGCTGGAATAAATGAATTTCAAGTGGGCTCACCCTCCATGTTGTATTCTTTCATATTGTACTGCTCCTTGATCAGCTACGTGTTGTACTTGTCTCTCCACAAAGTTCAAATTCTACGTACTGCTGAGGGCAAGTTCGAGGAAGCCGTTATTGAATATCTGTTTACCGTTTACTTATTTCCGATGATAACAGTCCCGGTATTGTGGTATGAGACTCGCAAGATTGCAGAAGTTCTTAATGGCTGGGTTGATTTCGAGGTATGTCGGTCATTTATACAAATATATTTTTTTTGAATAAAAAGGAAATATAAACTAGACATAAACAGCAGGTAATGTCTGTAACGCTACAGGTATATTTTATGTCTTTAAACTCTGCAATTTATTTTCATAAAAACGTTGTGAAAATGATTGTTGAATGCTGGAGTTCTTGCTACAATAAAGAAGTCAGATTAAAATGCAAACTCATTAATAAAACTGCTTTTACACTTGCAGATTATTTACAAACAGTTATCAGGTCGTTCTCTTCCCGTCAAACTGTACAAGAAGGCATTGCTCATCGCAATCACCATTCCTATTTTGTCAACAACTACTGTAATTGTGACCCATGTGACTATGGTGCATTTCAAGCCTATGCAACTCGTGCCATACGTATTTTTGGAGATTTTAACCTACATGCTTGGCGGCTACTGGTATCTACTTTGTGAGACTCTTAGCATCTGTGCTAATGTCTTAGCAGAAGATTTCCAACAGGTTAGTAATCAAAGTAGACAAATTTATTATACTTATCAAACAAATATTAAAATTATCAAACAAATAATTTGTCAAATCACAAACGGTTTCTGAATTCCTTAATTCTCATTTTTGTCTCTTCTAGGCGCTTCGCCATATCGGTCCAGCAAGTAAAGTTGCAGAATATCGTGCTCTTTGGCTTCGTTTGAGTAAACTCTCTCGTGATACAGGTATTGCCAATTGCTATACCTTCACTTTTGTCAATCTGTATCTTTTCCTTATCATTACCCTATCTATCTACGGACTCTTGAGCCAGATATCTGAAGGATTCGGAATAAAGGATATTGGTCTCGCTCTGACTGCATTCTGTAGTATCTTTCTGTTGTTCTTCATCTGTGATGAAGCTCACTACGCTTCTCATAATGTGAGTATTCCACAAGTAATTTTATGCCTTGTTTGAAAAAATTAAATGTTTATCTCTTGAACTATACTTAATATACTAAATTAAAGCCTTTTCTTTAAAACATAGGTACGAACAAACTTCCAAAAGAAATTGTTAATGGTGGAATTATCCTGGATGAACACTGACGCCCAAACCGAGGTAAACATGTTTCTAAGAGCTACTGAAATGAATCCCTCTCAAATTAGTTTAGGAGGATTCTTCAATGTCGACAGAACTCTGTTTAAATCAGTAAGTAAATTTATTTCTCAGACTATTTTTTTTTTAAAGTATAAATTCATCATAACTGAAATATCAAAGTAAATTTCTTACTTGTTATTAAGGAACTTCGATATTGTAACCCAAAACTTTTATTCGCTTATTCCTTTTTCAAGTTTTAGCAATCGAACAAAAAAATACCAAAACAACGAGACATTTTTTTCAATAGTGTATGTAACTGATATACCTGCCAGTACCTACAGAAAATAATGTAATCATATTGTTCCTTTTGTTACTGCGTACCCCTATTATTACATTATTACGAAGTATAAGTAATAATTACACAAATTAGACAAAGGCTGGATTAGCCTACCTCTTGGAAACGTTTTACAATCATTTTATAATGTAGATTTGGTTGAAAACCTGCAGTAGTGCACTAAGGGCCACTAAAGACTGTTGTTCCAACTTGTTTGACTAATAATTTGACTTCCCGTAACGTGATTCATTCGATAGACCAGTATTATAATCATTATGAAGCTGTTTATAGGCCATCGATTAAATTATTTCATGATCCTGTTTACGGTGATTTAATTAGGGACACTAAATTAAAATAGGTGCTTACGCTTTAACTAAACAAGGAAGTTCAACTGCCTTCGAGCTGAACATTTTGTAGCTATGCTTATTTAGCAAGTTTTTATTGAAATAAACAAGCATACATACATACATACAAATGTATATCATACAATCACGTCTGTATCCCCGACAGAGTAGGCAGAGACACTTTAAAGCGTAATAAAGATAATACTAGGTACTATACAAAGTAAATATTTACTAAATTGATGCAAGGCTATAATTCCTTTTGTGTTGCAGCTTTTGGCAACTATGGTCACATATCTGGTTGTCTTGCTGCAATTCCAGATTAGCATCCCCGATGAGGGTCAAGACCAAGCTCCTCATAACGATGACAATTCTTACAACATCAGCAGTGCAACGACCGAATCTATGACTACATCAACTACAGTTATAACTACTATTCTCACCACTCTTGGCAAGGAAAAAAAAGAAAAACTAGTTTAGATTATTAATTCGCTGTACCAATTTTTTTTTCTTCTTTACAACAGCTCTTTTTATGGTTGGTGACGATTTTTGCATATAGCGTGGTATAAACAAGGAAACTTACTGTGTTGGTACTCTTTCCTCGTGTCGGCGTAATTCTGTTTAATCCTATTTTTAATGGCGATAATTTTAGGCTTTCGGATGGAATAAACTGCAATTCGCGACCTTGCTGATTCAATGAATAATGATGTCCTCAAAGTAAAAGGTTAGCCTATCCTTTCCTTAAGAGGTTACATGTAAGGACTTCAAAATTGAATGTTTTTAAAAAAAATGTTACAATTTTCTACTTAATTTTGCAACAGTTTAGTACTGCAGTATAATAATCACGACGCTGTTTTCCTTATGTAGTTACATTTCTGAATTAAAATATGTTGGTTCGTTATGTTCTCTGTTCAAAGAAGTATGATTGTGCAGATAATAGTTATATCATCTAACTAATCCTAACGAGAAATAATATATTTGCGATACTAAGTTTGTTCGTTGTTATTTTTTTTGAGTTCACGCCTTAAATACTAAACTGAGCAACACCGGTGGGGTGGTTATATCGGACTCGAATCGCCCAAACATCGACGTACCTCGGGCCATCTACGGCTTATAGATAACCTTCTTCTGTGTATGAACCCCGATGTTCCCTTGCCTGCTTCTGCTAGGGTGACAGATGGCCTCACCTGTCACCCAGGCCTACGCTTATAGAGGACGGAGGTCGTTCTGCGACCTCCAGCGATTGAATCGTCTACGGTACCTGGCCCGTTATCGGGCCTGGCGGGCCGGGAGAGTTCTAAACCTCTCCCGATTCCGCTCCGTCATTTCCTTCGCAAGCATAACTTGCTCGCAGAAGGAGACGGCGGAGTTCCACGTACTCTCACTCCATACCATGGAGGCAATCATGTTACTGAGCGAGAGAATTCCCACTCCGATGGCCGCCACGAGGTCCCGCCTCTGCCAGAATGTGGAGCGCCGTGTTTACGGTCCAGTCACCGCAGTGATACTCAGGCGTTGGCTCCTTACGGATCAGACAAAGGTTATCTCTGAAGCATCCTAAACCGAGCAACCTAAACAGAACAAGTCATCATCATTAAAAAATATATATATAAAATCTAATTGCGTGAAAATTGTTTACTTAAAATTGACAAACTTAATTATATGAACTGAAAAGATAAAAACAATATATTCTTTTAATCCTGACTTTGTATTGTTTAGCATTACTAGTTCCAAAGTTCAATATACTTTTGTAAGACAACTAAGATACTCTGTATTTTAATACCATACTCGATAGGACTTTCACAATTGACAAACCTAACTACGAGTACAAGTCTCAAGCCAAATTCTATCAACCCATTTAGACTACAAAACGTTCCAAAAAAATTACACACCTACACTTGAAAAATATAACCTTTTTATCCATAAAAACAAACGAAAACGATAACGTTTCAGAAGCGCCAATATCGACTTTTAAAGCCAAGCCAAGCTAAGCATCGTTACGACTGCATCTGGCAACATTACATTATGACGTTAGGGTTTGATTTATCTGTATGTCGCGGCACTTGACAGAATTTTCCCGATTTTGACGAATCCGGATTCTAGAAGGGCAGCAAACGTTCAACAGTGATTGTTTATACCTGCTGTTTAATAAATTGTTGAATTGGGCGTAGTGAAAAAGCTCTAAAAATGGTCGATTACAGCAAGTGGAAGGATATAGAAGTAAGTAGCTGTTGTGCTAATGTATGTTACTACATTGCATTGTATTATTCCGTAACCCACATTCTTTTATAGATATCAGACGATGAAGATGAAACTCATCCTAATATTGATACACCCTCACTGTTTCGTTGGCGGCACCAAGCGCGTGTCGAACGCATGGAGGAGCGACGTCGAGAAAAAGAAGAGCATACTCGAAAAAGAAATGAGAACATAAGACGGATGAACGAGACCAAAAAGAAGATCGCCGAAGCCGATGGTCCCGAGCTGGAATCACTGAAGAAAACTTTAATAGAACTTGAAAAAGAAGAAAAATCATTGCAACAGAAAGAGGATGAACTCAGGAAGAAAGAGAAACAGACACCATGGAATGTTGACACAATCAGTGAACCAGGTTTTACCAAAACTGTCATTAACACAAAGGCTCCCAGACCGAAGGATGAAAACCTGACTGAAGAGGAAAAAGAGGCAAGGATGAAGAAGTTTATTAAGAAGAATGAGACTTTGTTAAAAAAATTTGGTATGTTGCGTCGGTATGACGACTCGCGACAGTTGCTGCAGGAACATAATGAACTGGTGTGTGAAGAAACTGCAAACTATCTTGTTATATGGTGCATAAACTTGGAGATGGAAGGGGTTAGTATCTATTAAAATCATCTTATTCTTTAAAATTGGTGGTGCCAATGCTTTTATAATCTGTTTAAAAAAACAGTTATCAGGTACAGGATAGGAGTATTCTCTGTCTGCACACATTTACTTAAATTAATATATAGGTTCATATTCTTGTTTTTAACCATTAATAGTGTGTATGAATAAGGTGTTTAAGATTTCCAATTGGAATAATTAAGAAAATTCAAATAAATATTTTTAGTGTAAACATGATATCATCAATCATCACTAGCAATCCATTGCCTTCAGCCTGAATGAGTTATCAATGAGGTGTAGATAATGTAGTAGGTGGTTAATACATATTTTCTTTATTCTCTGCTAAATGCAGTGATCCAGCCTCACTGAAAACTTTCCTTGATTTTCACCAAGTGAGAAAGGTTACCAGAGCGTAAAATCCTTTGCCCCTTCTCCTGAGGAGGGATTCCATGGGTGGCAATTCAGTAGTGACTCTTGGGTTGTAGGGTTTCATTAGACACCCTACACTTTTGTCCCCTATGTCATAAAGACAGTGTAAGTTGTCTAGGGGTCAATTACCTACAAGGACATAATTCCTACCTAAGTCCTTGTAGTACAAGGACTTTTATGCAGAAGACATGGCTGTTCCTAAGGAATCAAAAATGACTTTAGTGCTTGCAAAGCTACAGGTAAATGTGATTAATAAATGAAACTATTATTTTGTGACTCATCTTAGTTCACTCTAAATTTGTGTTACATAAATCAAGATGAGTTTAAATGACTTATGGCATTTTTTTATTTTCAGAAACATGAATTGATGGCTCATGTTGCACATCAGACCATCTGCATGCAGTATATACTGGAGCTATCCAAGCAACTTGATGTTGATCCCAGAGCTTGTGTTGGATCATTCTTCTCTAAGTAATTATCTTTTAATGTGGTACTTCTAGTTTATAATGCAATAATATCCAAGTATATCCCAGCGTGGTATAGTAGGCCCCAACCTCTTTTCTATGGAGAGGCCTATGGCCAGCAGTCATTTAATAAAGGCTGTGGATGATCCAATAATGTTCCATTCTCCACTATACTATAAGTTATAAAAAAAATGGGCACAATACCTAATGTTATATCATGGGATAGTCAGTATTTTCAATACCATTAGTAATGGTTTGATAATACTGACTTTTTACAGTGAATTGAATATGTAATGGTTCATTACATATTCAATTCACTGTAAAAAAGGTCACATCATAACATTATTTTAAACAGTTTGATTCTCCACCTTCTATACACTTTTAACCAAAAAAGGTATTTTTATGTATTTTAAAAACTTTGTTATAGACGAATAACTAAATAAATAAATACTTCAGTGCAATTATTCTAATTCCTTAGTCACCAGTCTAGAAATAACTACAGGAACTAACTACAATCCACTACAAATTTAGCCCTGGCACATCAGGGCCAAAAATTCACTATAACCCTTGATACTTTTCTAGGGTATAAGGTAGTGAATAGATTTATTTCAGATAGGTGTGTCCATTTTTCATAATCAAGAATAATAGGACAGATAGACTATTCTATAAAAGGACAACTGATATGTTTACTGTATATTTAGAAGGCTAATTTTGTGTAACGTAAGCTATGTTATAAATATTAAATGATATCCATACATGCATGAAAGCTGTGTGGTGACGGATTAAGAATACACTGTCACCACCCCAGTCTCTAAAGTGTGTTGTAAGAGCCAACTAAAGAAACTATGGAGGAAAACAGCACTGCAAAAAGAAGGAAAACCCACAAACCCTATACCAGCCCGGTTGGCCAGCATGGTATAGCAGGCCAAAACCTCCTTTTTAAGGAGAGACGTATGTCCAGCAGTGGAATATTAAAGGCTATTGATATGATGATCCATGCACCAAAATCTTTATTTACATGCATTACAGAAAGTTGTCATACTTTACAGAATTCAAATTGCTGAGAAGACCTACAAAGACTCATTTGATGACGAGTTGGAGCAATTCAAGGCCAGGATTAAGAAGCGGGCAGCAGAAAAGATTGAGGAAGCTATCAAAGAACAGGAAGAGGAAGAAAGAAAGGCTCGACTTGGACCTGGTGGACTGGATCCTGTAGAAGTATATGAGGAACTACCTGACGTGAGTAACATTATATATAATGTTATTAGTTAATCCTGAGTCCTATAAATTAGTAATATATTTTAACTGTCTAGACAGGTGCATTATACTTTTATTCAGTATGCTAAACTCAGATTATCTTACTCTCGGAGCACTGACAGAACACTGCATATATAAGCTTGGATCATTGACATACATTGCATAGTAGCATAGAAGATAGTACTGTAGTAGTAGATAACTACTGATGTATCATGCCAATGCTATTATGTGATAAGTTTTAAATTTTGATTGAATTGTTTTATTCAGGTTACAGTTTTATTAAATCCTATTTAAACTCAGTATGATATATCAATGATCTTTGATATCTGAGCAACCTTGCTGCACTTGAGGAGCCATATCCATTGACTGTTTTATATAATTAAGTTTAAGTAATCTCAGTTATAGTTTGAGGGACATAGGAACGTCTCATTAAACATTAGATAAAATCATTAATTACATGCCTATGAAAATAACAAACACACTAGAATTCCTTACCTTTTAAAAACTAAAATTGCCAGAGAACACATTCATTAAAGCAATGTAGAATAATTTCTGAACTAGAACTCTTGCTAATCTTTTGTGTAATGCTTATGGCGTCTAACAAGTAATCAAATGATTGCAGGTCAATCCCACCCAATACATTACCATTGTGAAAGCTGTCCTATCACATAGGCATTCAGCTTAGCTGAACGAATTAGAAGTAATGTGTGCAGTTTTTATTTTAATATAGTACCAGCCATATGGCTAATATTCCATTTTAAAATAATAAGAGGTGCTTGTACGCTTATGTTAGCAAAGCTGGAATATCAAATAATTCTTTCTTTCAAATTGATAGAAAATGAATGAATTAATTGTTACTAATTACAGGAGCTAAAGAAATGTTTCGACGCTCAAGATGTTCCATTGCTGCAAGCAACAATTGCAAAAATGCCAGAACAAGAAGCCATATACTATATGAAGAAGTGTGTTGATGCAGGTCTATGGGTACCTGGCAAGAATGATGATGAGCCTACAATGAAGGAAAATGCGGGTGAGAGCTCTCGGACCTCAGAGTCCTCTGCAAAACCCACAGTCAGCATTGATGACGTGGACTGATTAAGGACAGATCTGAAGGTCACTACATTTAAACATAAATCTCCAGATTGAATTGCTAGAACCACAAGTTTGGCGACTTATGAATACAACCACATTATAAGGATTTATGGGTTGTTTCCATTTCAAAATTTATATTAGTGGCTATCAAGAACAGACAATGTTATATGTTGTGTCAAAGTTTATGATGTGATACTTTAGTAGTGTCACTGTAACATTATCACAATCCTTTTGTCCCTCTGCAATATTAACGGTACTTTTAGTGCTGCTAATTTATATATTTTTAATGTCATACATAAAATTTTACAGACATGAGATTTACAAATATATATGATATCGCCATAATTGTGTTTTAATTGTTAAATGATTACTTTTGATCTCACCCATAAAAGAACGAAAGTAAACGTTTTACGTATTTAGTTAGATTCAGTGTTTAGCGATAGATTCTAATACAAGTTTGAGTATATCTTTATATTATCCTATGATCTTAGTCAAAAAAGGTGGTGTAGGAGATGGAGCAATATTATTCTTTGACATTATACACAGCTCTATCCAAATCCTAACATAGTTTTTCTACAAGCCAGACCTTTTTATAATTATTATAAAACTTGGACATCATAGTAGTTAACAAACTAACGAAGGGGTATCAGTTGAAGCTATAAGCAGAGGCGTATTATAAACCTACATATTGCAAAATACAATTCGATCCGTCGCACGTTAGGCGGCAGATTTGCTCATATGGATGATAAGAAAGTTAAGAAATAGCTCGAGCTCAACGTAAGTTATTGTCATCTAAATCATAAAAACTTCTTAGAAAATAACGGAAATGACAACGAGTGTGATCTTTTTTTAAACTTGTACTTTTTATATAACAAAACTACAATAGGTGTATGAGAGAGGACACGGCGGGTTCGCTACGTGAGCACATGCGGCGGCAGTTGCGGTCGCCCCTCCAGCTTGCTGTAGTCCAAGTGAAATTCTTTCGCCACCTGCAGGATATTATTTGATGATTTATTGAAATATACATTCTTCTGTGTTAAGTAAAAGTCAAATATCTCAAGCATATATTTGTTGGGTCACTTTTTTGTTGCATTTTCTGTATTTAATAAATACTAGAGATGCCATAAACATTCAGAAATTATTTGATATTCGGCCATTTATTTATTTTTCACTGTTCGGTATTCGGCCAAATACTACGTCGGATAGCTAATCATGATACTACAAAGAAACTGCCGGTTTACTGTTTTCACAAAAAAAATACTGAAAGAAGTGATTTTCTTATTCAGTGGCTTCGTTAAGCTTTTCGCGAACAAGCAGTAATAAATCCTAAAATAATCGCTATTAGTAGTATCTCTATTTATTACTCCTTCTTTTATTCGGTTAGTTCATCGCAGCATTAGGCTAGTTTCTTTTATAATATGGTAATTAGATCTTCTATTATTCCGTAAATAGTTCGTTTATAAAAGTAATATGTCACTTGTGCTAAGTAGCAAACGTTTTAATGAGTATTTCAGTCAGTTACACACAAAAATACATGACATTTAATACGTAGGTCACTACATAAGTTTTGTCGTATGCGAAATAAATGTAAGATATAATAGTTGAGGGTAGATTTACAAAGGCAAAATAATATCAACAATAACAGTACAAGTTTCGTAACGTAAAGTAGCTTTGTAGATTTATTGCGATTTTTTGAAAATTAAACATGAGTGAATTTACTCGTCGCGATATTCGTGTAATAATGTTATATAATTTCAAGCGTGGCTTGACCAAGCAACAGTGTTTTGAAAAAATGAGAGGTGCATTAGGACAAACGTGTCCTTCCTTAAGGATTATAGAAAGATGGTTTATTCAGTTAAATCGCGGCAATTTTAGCTTGGAGGACGATTCGAGGCCGGGTAGGCCAATAGAGGTGACTACCGATAGAAACATTGAGGCAGTGCGAAAACTACTGGAAGAAGACCGGCATGTGACATATCGACAGATCGAGGAAACCCTGCATTTAAATGCACCAACTGTTCATCGAATTCTTCACGAACATCTAAACGTTAGGAAACTTTGTTCACTTTGGGTACCATTTCGATGACTGACAAGTTAATGGAACAGCATATGAATTGGTGTCATGAGATGTTAGAAAAATTTGACGGCGGCAAATCTAAGTACGTCAATTCAATCATTACATGTGATGAAACTTGGCTTTACTATTTTGATGTCCCAACTAAATCCCAAAGCAAAGTATGGGTGAGATACGCCAACGTCTGTCAAAATGTCTCGATCTGTTAAAAAAAGAATGGTGGCTGTATTTTTCTCAAAACGCGGAATATTGTCGACTATCGTGCTTGATAAAGAGAAGACTGTTACTGCCTCAAGTTTTAGAAGCGTTGAAAAATGAGCGACCAAACTCAAGACTCGACACATGGTTTCTGCATCAGGACAACGCTCCCGCCCATCCGGCTGGCAAAACTATAGACTATTTGCGTGAAGTTGGAGTGAAATTACTGGGACATCCTCCTTATAGTCCAGACTTAGCGCCATGCGACTTTGCACTTTTTCCTTATGCAAAAAAAGCACTAAAAGGACGCAAGTTTTCTAATGACGAAGAGCTTATAGGCGCATTTGAAGAGATATGTGGTAGTGTTTCAGATGGTTTCTGGGGCGACGTATTTAGTACATGACCATGGTTCGACCGTATGAGAGCATGTATCAGTGCTAATGGGCATTATTTCGAAAAAAAAAAAGTACGACAAAATTTATGTAGTGACCTACGTACATACATATTATGCATATGATAATGTTATTTATTTTTCATTATGCCCACTACACAGTATTGAATGTGCTTCAGAAAATAATTTGGCAACAGTAAGCCTGACCTCATGCCTAGTTTTTTCATACAAAAATAATACCAAAAAAAGAGGATTAACCTAACAAGCATTCGTCCTCTGAAGGGTTTAATATAAAAGGGGTGTTATCAGCTATACAAATAATTTAGCTTTCAAATTGTACAGTTAAGTCTAAAACTTGTAGAGATAAGTATTTAGTGTTCAGGTAAGTTTAATAATGTGTCATATATACCTTACGCCAGTTGTGCGCATCGAAAAAGTAATATGTGCCACGTTCGTACGTTGACGTTTTTTCCACCATCGGCATGCCCGGCGCCTGAGAGATCCACACCTTCTCCTCCATATGATACCGCCATTCACGATTGTAACTATAAAACATACATTCAATGGACTCTTTCTTCAAAAATAATGCTTCCACATTACTAACCTTATCTAAGAATAAAACATTGGCACAGCATGAGTTATATTGAATTTTATGACAGTTTAGTTTTTAGTTTTAAAATATTCAGAAAAGGGGATAAAAAGATTTTGAATAAGATTAGTTCTTATAATAAGTGAGTCACTAAAAAATAAAAACAAATCAGAATTCAGTATCTATTTGGACAATGTTATGAATTGAATCCTATGAATAGCATATATTGTTGGTATAGTGTGTATGTAAGTGATGCCTAGGTTTATCGAAAAACAAATCGTAATGTTCAACAATACCATACACTTGTGTTGTAAATTTGTATTGATCAGTAATCATGTTTTATTTAAAAAAGGCGATACTACAGCTATACAGGATGCATTGAAGATTGTGCTGTTTTTAATTCAAGAAGTTGCACTAGGTAAATTATGCACGCATTTATTATATCAACAGGCAGTCTGATACATACAACAGAAAGATATGAATCATCTTGCATCATATGTTACTTTTGATTTGATTTCCATATTCTTAATACAGTCAAGTATATTTGTAACTAGCTGAGACCCGCGGTGTTACCCGCGTTTGTTGTTATAACCGCGGGAAACGCCGCGGGGCGAAGCTAGTCTAAAAAAAGCAGCCTAAGTTACTCATTATGTCATCAGCTATCTGCCAGTGAAAGTCCCGTCGAAATCGGTCCAGCCGTTCCAGAGATTACCCGGAAAAAACAGACAGACAGACACAAAAATTGTAAAAAATGTTATTTTGGCATATGTACCGTGTAAACATACATATGCATTTAGTAAAAAGCGGTTATTTTAATATTACAAACAATTTTATTTATTTGTATAGATAATGCCTAAGCCTCATATCATTTTTTAAAGATAACTCCCGCACTAGGGATATATCCTGTGTCGTGGGGGACTTCACAAACATACATTAAACGGAGCACACCCGGAACAAAAAACACCCAGACTTAGAACAATCATTTGTGAATAATACAAAGTGTTGTCCCATGTGGGGATCAGACCCACAACACTCACCGCAGTAGGATGCGGCGCGGTGACCGCTTAAACCACTACTCTATCCGTGCAGTCATATGAATAAATAATGATAATTTACTATATAATGTTCAACTTACAGTTCAGCTGCAGCTGCAATTTGCAGCACGTCACCCACGAAACAGTAGAACAAATAAAATAAGAGGTCTTCCTTATATCGACTCAGTCGCAGAGGCGCAAGTTTTTCTCTAATAGATCCATTAATTAAATATTCAGGAGGCACGTGATAATCCATGTCTTGTGGTCTGAAATGAACATATTTTAAATATTATAATGAAAATATTAAATAAATATTATAATAAAATGTAAATATTATAATGAATTGCTTATATCATATCACTGTTACTTTAGTTTTTATTTCAAATTTGTTTACTTTGTTTAAGTTGTACCTAAATAACAGACTTTCCGCAAAACACTGAGGTTCAGTATAATATCCTATAGAGTAGTTTTCATGCATAAGCTCAAACGAGATAAAAAGTTATAATGAACTAAAAACTGGTGAGTAGAATTCTTATTTATAAAAAATATACGGTTTTACGAAGTTCTGCATTTGTGCAGCACCTGACATCGACACGAAAAGTCAACCCTTGATAAAGGTCGAATACGAAACAATTTGGTCATTATCACAATACACACGTGAGTAAAATCGTATATCCTTTATAAGAATAATAAGGTAAGGCGAGTGGTGTGATAGTGTGGTTTTCACGTCACTTTCGATTCTACTGTTCTAGGAAGATAATGGTTTGTAGTTTGTTAGTCATTTCATACATAATTTATTTTATAATTCACCTGCAAGGCGTGTCCGCCCAAGGTCCAGCAAAAGTTAGATAAAGGTTGTCTGGGGAATTTAGATTCAGTCCAAGTGCAGTTAGATCCTGCCCTAACGCCAACGAAACTAAACTGGGATCCGACTCTGCTGCTCGGATAAATGTTAATAGTCCCACAATACCAAATTGATTTGGTATCATTGTCTCTGGTATATTCGTAACTTTACCTAAAAACACAAGACTATTAATTGACGGCCAGGATACAAAATAAATACATCAATGGAATATCTGGACATTATATTAAAAAAGCTTCATTAAACATACTCAATACAGAAGCCACTTTAATATTATGTCCATCCTAATAATATAATACACACCATAGAATTCCGTATGTGCTCCTTGACTGACAACTTTAGGGACAAAAAAATTACATGTCAGGTGTAGTTCAGTTCATTATTATCTAGAATAATTTCATAATATAACACAACATTATGTAGTTTTATGTAGCATGCATGGATGAATAAGTAAGATAGAATAATAAATAACAACAATCAAATTCATTTAAACATTGTGGACTTTTGTATTCTGTTAAAAACAAATTAATATTTACCATCAGGTGAGGTCTGTATCCCTTTTCTAGGCTTATCGGCGTTGTGATTGGCAAAGTCGGGCGGCGGAGGCGCGGGACCTGAAGGTGGCTGAGGTGCTGCCCCTCCACTGCTCGATGTGCCAGGAAGCGCCGGGAAGTCCTCTGAAGACATTGTAAACTCCGACTGCTCAGATGTAGGCTGCTTCACCATACCCACTGTTCCAATAACATTCCATGAGCATCTACTATGTTTATTTAAAACATCTGGTAAGCGTAAGTAAGAAGTCATCTGACCGTAAGGTTTAGAGCCTGGGGGTGGTGGTGCAGCAGCAGGGGCCTGGTCACCTGCCCCACGTGCTGTAAGCGATGGGAACTCGCTAAGGTCCAATAGTGGCGGCGTTGATGTGTCACCACCCTCGCCAAAAACTGAGTGGTAATTACTGCCTGGATTGAATCGAGACAGATTGCCCATGCTCGACTGTTGACAACCAATCAAAAATATCATTATAATAGTCCCTACAATACATTGTTGTTGGAAGCGTATCAAATATTATCTATAAATGAAAAAGAGTAATTTTCATTTGTAAACAATTATTTATACAGAAGCTTAGTCAAATCTTATTAGATTATTTCAGATTTAGCTTCATTTATCAGTAGGATAAAAAAGTAAACATATTTATATTAAGTTTTATGTATATGTACTATTAAAATCTCTTCAATACATATTCATGCTCTTGACCAAATTATTCTTTCATTGATTGCTAATCATTTGAATTAAAATTTCTTTAAAAAACTAATAATTCATTGGAAGGTTTGAAGGGTTGACTCTTGAAAATGCAATTAATTTTCACACATTCTTAAAGTAATAAATAAGTACACAAGTAATAAATAAGAATGAAATAAGGAAAACCAACCTGATAAAACATTGTTTAAATTATATTAATGCAAAGGCAATCACACTCAAAGATTATATTTCATTTTATTATTACAAAAGTATTGGTAACAAAGAAAAAAAGAACAAGTGTACATATTTTAAGTGTCAGTAACATGGAGGTAAGAAAATAGTAGAATGTCATATGCAACTACCCACATTAAAAGAAAAGAAATATGAATAGTATTTTTTTAATTGTCATGTTTATAATCTTACCATGGAATTTGAATGAGGTTGAGTTAAAGTGTTCGGCATAGGTACTCTACGGTCAGCAAATGCTCGCTGGCCGAAAAGTGTTGAACGAGATGCCATGGAGGGTGGAGCGCCCCCAGGCATGGCAGTAGAGCCCCGACCTGGCGACAGGGCGCCTCCAAACGTAGGCGTCACATGGCCTGAAACGCCGCCCACCAGCCCTGAGCTGACGCGACTACCCACACCGCCACTCGCTAGGCTTCTAGGTGCTTGTTGAAAATTCAAGTTTGCCATAACCTGCAATAGTTTTAGAAGATTTAGTTGTCAATTACAAATGAAACATGATTTCAATGATGTGGTGCGTATTACTTTTATGTAATATGTTTGTAATAATTTATCATGACTGACTATACCTGTGGTGACAGATTAAGAATACGGAATGTCAACACCCCTATTCATCCCGTGGGTGTCGTAAGAGCCAACTAAGGGAACAAACTACGCAGGACAACAGCACTGCAAAGAGAAGGAAAACTTGAAACCAACCCTGTACCAACCCGTCTGGCCAGCGTGGTATAGTAGGCCAAACCCTCCTTTCTAAGGAGAGGCCTATGTTCAGCAGTGGACTTTTAAAGGATGTTGATGATGATGTGATGAATTTTTTATGATTTATGTTTTTGACTTTATACTATTACATGAAATCTCTTTTTCTAATAGGAAAAAGTAAAAATAATAATAAAATGAATACAATAATATTGTGTTTAAAGATAATTTAATTTACATTGACATCATTAAGATCTTTAATGGTGTAGAACATGTTATCAATTTAGGCCACAAAACTGAGTTAATTTCAAGAACTGAAGTAAAATATTTTACACATAGCTGGTGCATTTTACAAAAACACCAAGATAATAAATGGGTCTCAAATTATATATATATATATATACATCTACATAAATACTAACATTTCATAAAGAGAGCTAAATAAAGTGTTTTTCAAAAGTCTTCCAACTTGATACTTCAAGATCAACTTTCCAATATCTTGACTGGACATTAGTGTATTGCATTCAGCTAGGCAAGACATTTACTTGCTCTAAGTAAGCCTATAGAAAACAGTAAACGTTTTAAGATACTGATACAAGACAAATTGAGGAACTTAGGAGTTAGTAGTCAAAAACTTAAATTTATATTTCCATTTACCCTTATGTTGTTACTAAAAATATGTGCCTAAATTAATGGCAAAACTATATTGGCTAGAACTTTAGGTTCTGATATTAATTATGTTTATGAGACGAGGCTATAAGAAAAACATTCATACCCATTGAAGTATACAGTGTTAAGATAGGAAATACGAGATAACGTTTGCTAATAACAACAGCTGAAGTGTAGGTATCGTACTTATATCTGGCTTTTTATTTTTACTATGGTTATTCGTCTCCTGTCAAACAATGGCGACCCGTTATTGGTTTACACAATTCTTCATAAATTCCAAATATTTACCTAATGTGTCGTCGTCAGTCCTTGTTCCACTATTTCAGTATCAGTACGAATGGTTCATAGTCGAATGTTCCCTGTAGAAACAAATAAATCCACTCCAATGAAATAAACAAAAGTTTGTTGACTGTCCAATTTAGATTACGATTTATATGCATTCAAAAATTTTAAGACGAACTGAAAAGATACTCGAGACCGTCTTTGCCTGAAACACTGCTATAAAACGTTGAAAACTTTATACATCTTTACGTCACTTATAAATATTTTAACAATTTCACTCAGTTTTGTCGAACGCCACATTACCCTAAACAACTGGCGGCCATATTGCTGAAAGCGGACGGAAAGCTGCAATATTTTTAGTCATGTAGCTTTTCATTAAATTAAAAATATATTCTTCAGAAAATAAAATGAGTATGAAATATTTAGTCTAGGTATTTATTTTAAGAATATTCTTTCCCTACAATAATATTTAAATAAATACGGTCAAACTAATATTTTGTTAGTGGTATTTAGTTTGATCTTTTGCAGCCAACACTCAATTTTATTGCCATAAAAAAGTTGAGTAAAATACAAAAGACTACCCGAGTTAAGAACGAAGTTAAAATGTGTCACACTTCTATTTGTCTATGATTTTCAACACAGTTAACAGTCACGTTTTTTTATTCTCTGATTCGATTAAATAATTTTATTTGTTATGTCATTTTATTTGACATTGTTGACTTCATAAAAATATCAATTTTTTATTATATTATCATTTAATGTTTTTAAGGGAAAAAAATTGAAATACTGCTAATTTCAATATTTTCTAAGAAATTCAAAATAAATAATCAAAAATGATAGAAAAGGGTTTTCTGTTAATTGAGAAAAATAGAATACTTCTTTAACTAATTATTAAATGCAACGGGTACTACATTATCTGGATTTGAGATAAATTATAGGAGTAAAATAAGTCTGTATAAAATCTAATTGTAATCGATAAGACAAACGGAATCGATTAAATTGTCTATGCAAGAAATTCTTGGCAACACCGAGATCATATGATTGTTCTATGAAGGAGCACGTCTACTAGGCGTCGACTTACTTCGTCAAGCCAGTTTTTAATTTTCTGGCTCTTTATCGGTTGTTTTTCGTGTTAGTGGTGCTAAATATTAACCAACAGCCATGGCGCTCAGCGATGCAGATGTTCAAAAGCAGGTACGTATATACAAATCGTAATTCAGCAAAATGCAGCGTAGATCTCTCGACATGGATTTGTCAGATTAATTGATCCGAAATGAAGTACCTGAAGACAGTGTTCCAAATCACCCTGATTATTCGGAAGGGCAATAATGTTATTTCATGCTTGGAAAATGCTTTTTACATTGAGATATTCCTTTTTTTTTGTCACTAGATCAAGCACATGATGGCCTTCATCGAACAAGAGGCTAATGAAAAAGCCGAAGAAATCGATGCTAAGGCCGAGGAGGAGTTCAACATTGAGAAAGGTCGTCTTGTCCAACAGCAGCGCCTCAAGATCATGGAATATTATGAAAAGAAGGAAAAACAAGTTGAACTCCAAAAAAAGATGTAGGTCCCTGTGTGCAATCTCATACACTTTTTGTATATAAACTTATACATTTCTTTAACTCCAGATTTATTATTCAAATGAATTTATTTAATTTACTAATCTAGTTCAATAACATAAAGGTATTGTACCCTTATAGTAGGTTGCCAGTTCTTAGTAGATATAAAGTCAAAATCACCTAACTGATTATAATAGTTTTTGTGAAGACATTATACTTTGTATGGGATGTTTTCACATAAATTAAAAAAGTTTCCATACTTATACCAAATTGATAAAACATGTGATCATGTGATCTAACTGCCTATAACTAAAACTGAAAACATAAGTTACCAAGTAACAGTTTTTTAAAAAAAGAAATGCATGACATAAAAATTGAAATCATCATTTACAAATTTCTACCAAAACAGCCATTAAATAAATTATTTGTACAAGATTAGAAAGACAGTTTTTGGTAACTATAAGTTGAAAATTATAAGTGGCACTTTTAAAACTAGTATATTGTATGGGATTCTGGTAAAAATGACTGAACTGTATTTTATTTGTTTTATAATATCTCCTACATTGGTATTTTTAAAATCTAATTATATAAAAGCAATAATTCAGTTATCCACATGGCATCACATGTTGTACAGTGCTCAATAGAATGATAACAATGATTACATATAAGTTATCAGTGATAATGGGCTTTTTTTCTGGATCAAATACAAAAATGGACTTAAATGAAAACTAACTTTTCATCTTGTTATGTTATCTTTCTATGAATGAGTCAGATCATCTATGAAGAAGGGATATTAGGCTACCTTTTTTCTTGGTGTCTACCTTAATGGTAAATAATAAATACCTAAATATGATTGAACTATCTAATAGTGTAGAATAAAAAACTACTGTTTCAATTGAAAAAAACTAAAGGTTAAACAATTATTATATGACATTTCAAGGCAATGTCTTTGCAAATTGGAGTCTTAAATAAGATAAAGGCTGTAAAAAACTTATTACCATTTAACATTACCATTACCATTTAACACACTCTTCAAAAACAATTTGTAGTGTTCTGAGTAGTGCCGCAGACTTCTATCTTTACTGTCATTTTTAGAGTCAGCAGGGTCATTTGTTTTGCTCTTATAAAATGCAAGCAATAGACTCAAATTTGAATAAATATGCTTTAACTGTATTTCAAAATAGTTAAAGCAAATTTATTAAAATCATAACAAATATATATGTATGATAAATCACTTTCTTTGTAATATCAGAACTTAATATGTCTTGTCTGACAGTCAATCATCGAACATGCTGAACCAAGCTCGTCTGAAGGTACTGAAAGTACGTGAAGACCATGTACGTAACCTTTTAGATGAGGCAAGAAAGCGCCTGGCTGAGGTGCCCAAGGACACCAAAATGTATGGAGATCTTCTGACCACACTCATTGTACAGGCACTTTTCCAGGTTAGTATGTAAACTAATTGCTTCCTCCTTAATAAAAATAATCCTGCAAGTATTATAATACATATGATATAAAAAGCAGTACAGGTGAGTGCATGTATTTATATACATGAACTTATAGGATATTATATATCTTTTAAACCATTCCAGCTTATGGAGCCTGCAGTGACTATTCGTGTACGTCAAGAAGATAGATGTTTAGTGGAGTCAGTGCTAAGCAAAGCTCAAGCAGATTACAAAGAGAAGATAAAGAAGGACACTGTCCTGAAGATTGATGCTGACAACTTCCTTTCTCCTGACACATGTGGTGGAATTGAACTTGTTGCTGCCAGAGGACGCATTAAGGTAGGAGTTGTACAATTTTATTCTACACAGTTTGTAAGTTATTAAAAGAAACACTATTTAGTGTGAACCTCTAAATACTAAATTTCTAGGCACATGACCAGTCTTTATGTTAGTCTTAGGCTTTGTATCATAATCCAATTCTATAGGACTGAATGCTAAATATTCAAAATAACTTTAAAATCGAAAAGTAAATATTTTGTAAGTATTCTCTCGTAGGTATGTATTTATATGCACGAAATATATAGTAAATGCTTTGTTTCACGCAGATCTCCAACACCCTGGAGTCCCGGCTGGAATTAATAGCCGCTCAGCTGTTGCCGGAAATTCGCACAGCTCTGTTCGGGCGCAACCCTAACCGTAAATTCACCGACTAGACTTTTAGCGGTGACCTTAACATACACACTTGTTACTACTAACAAATTACTTTTAAACAGTTCATAATTTGTAGAACTAAAATAATATAATAATAAGTTTTACTTTGCCTAATTAATTATGTCGTAATAATGCGTACAATTTTATCGCTGTTTAGAATGTATATTGATGAAAGATCCCGTAAAGTCGCCAGAAAATGTATAAACTTTTTATGTCAATATCATGTAAATTTCTGATTTCTGGTCATTGTTATGGACACAGAGGTCCTTCTTTCCTAACTGTGCATTAGTTTCGCCTGCTAATATGTCTTCGTCGTATATATTGAATATAAAATATTTTATTATAACAATTCATTCACATAGCATGATGTTATAAGTATTTTAGAGATTGTAGTTTATAGGATTTGGAAGTGGTTCGCTTAAGAGATGTTACCAGTTATTAGGCCATGCTGATAACCACTATCTACAATTAATACTGTTAAATAAATTTAGGACTCGACACCAGCTTTTGTCCATTACAGTATTATTAAAGCACAAGAACACTTTGCAATGGTAGATTCAATTGTTTCTATGTGAAATATTTACATTTAATAATCTTAATATTATGAAAGTTGTCATTAAATGTTTTGGATTAGTATTTTTCGTCTACACTGTTAAAGTTATCAATTAAAGGAATCATTGTCAGCTGTAAGGTTGGGGCACGACAGCAGCATCCCATGCTATGTTCACTTAAATCAATGCAAAGATTTGGCTGGGCGCAGTGTGGTGTCGCGCTACAACCTTGCGGCTCCCCAAGACATTCCTATTTTGTTTTTTATCCTGGCAATATAACATTTCGGCTTGCTTTTGAAAATGAATATTAAGAACATTATAGTTCTTGAACATACAATGTATAATTCCCATATAGCACTGTTAAAATTCTTGTAATGTAAATATATAGATGTGTTGAAAATCGTCTTTCATTTAAAAAATATTTCAATAGGTCTCGCTCAATTTAAGAGGCAAGTCCTTGACCAATCCTTGCAATAGAATCTATTGCAAGGATTGCGTATTTAATTGGAAGTAGTAAATATCTTGGTGTGGTGACGGATTAAGAATACAGTGTCACCACCCCTATTCATCCCGCGGGTGTCGTAAGAGGCGACTAAGGGAGCAAAATATGCAGGACAACAGCACTGCAGAGAGAAGGAAAACTTGACACAAACCCTATACCAACCCGTCTGGCCAGCGTGGTGTAGTAGGCCAAAACCTCCTTTCTAAGGAGAGACCTGTGGACTAGTCCACTACTGGACATAGGCCTCTCCTCAAATTAAAAAATTCAATTCCCGAGAGGCAGTACAAAATGCCTTTTAAGAGTTTGTTGCCTCCCGTCCAGCTGATTTTTACAAGCAATAAACTGCCAATGCGTTGGCAAAGATGCGTCGATTGCATGGGTGATTACTTCGAATAACAGAAATAAAAAAGTTTGAACAAATAAGTACTTTCACTTATTGCATACAATACGGCAATTTCATAGGTAAAGACCTATTAGTTTAAGCGGTCAACTCGCCGCTTTTTAATGTGCTGAGTGTTGTGGGTTCGAGCCCCCAAGTACCGAGTCTGAGTTCTGATTCTGGATGTTCTTTGTGTCTGTTTCATGAAACAAAATAGGCCTCTGTTTAGTATATATTTTTGTAGAAGTTATAAAGTACAAACGAGAAATTTACAGCTTTATTACGGAGCGTTTTAGTGGTTTTATGCTTTCAAGAACAAATGCTATCAGCATTTGTTCTTGATTTTCAATACATACATGTATAGTAAAAACAGCTTTATATTGTCGTTCAGGTTAAGAATTCCAAACTCAAATTTATAAATTCATTTAGCTGGTACATTTGAGTTTTGAAAACAGTCATTCATTTGTTTTTTCCTCAATTTTTTTCTTTGGCGTCGCTTATTACCGCACAATTGAAAACATGAAATATCGGTATATTTACGAGTAGGTACGAGTTCTACCGTGGCACCAGTGGTGCAGAAACAGTTCGAAGGATTAATGATGTGTACGGCGCTGGTGTCGCAAAAGAAAGCACGGTACGTTTTTAGTTTCAACGTTTTCGTTCTGGAAATTTTCACCTTCAGAACAAACGCCGTGGACGGCCGGAGACCAAAGTGGATAATTAAGAATTAAAGGCTATTGTGGAAGCGGATCCATCACAAAGCACTTCAGAGATAGCTGCAGGCTTCAGGGTAAGTGATAAAACTGTATTAATCCACTTGAAGCAAATCGGGAAAGTAAAAAATCTTGAACGATGGGTACCTCATGAATTGATTGAATCGAACTTGCAAACACGCGTCGACTGCTGTGTTACTTTGCTCAACCGACACAATAATGAAGGGGTTTTTTAATCGAATCACTTGTGATGAAAAGTGGATACTGTACGATAATCGGAAGCGCTCGTCGCAATGGCTGAACCCTGGAGACCCAGCCAAATCCTGCGCTAAACGAAAACTGACTCAGAAAAAGTTACTTGTGAGTGTTTGGTGGACTAGCGCCGGTCTCGTTCACTACAGCTTTCTAAAATCTGGCCAAACGATTACGGCTGATATCTATGGTCAGCAACTGCAAACCATGAAGGAAAAACTAACTGTTAAACAACCGAGATTGGTCAATCGCTCTAGGCCACTGCTGCTTCACGACAACGCAAGTTATATGAGCTACAATTGGAATGTCTGCGACATCCACCGTACTCCCCGGACCTTGCTCCAACAGATCAACTTCTTACAAGGCAAAAAAAAACCAACGCCGATGCGCCAGTCCAAACCGCTTTCAAAGAGTTTAATGATTCTCGCCCCCATGGTTTTTTATGTGAAGGGATCAATGAACTATCTATGAGATGGCAAAAGTGCATAGATAACAACGATACATATTTTGATTAATTAAATATATTTTACAAAAAAAAAAAAGACTTTATATTCCACTCGTACAAAACGACAATTTCATATGTAACCTAATTTATAAGCTCAAAAAGGTGTCTTCGCGCAAAGTAAGCAAACCTTGCTTCGATATTTCGACTACTTCTATTACGTAATTATACAAATTAAGAAAAATATAGCTGCTATGATCTATACTCATAACTGCTTTACGTTTTTTAGTATGATAAAGTTGTTGAAGTTTTGTAGTTTCACAGAATCAGAACGCTAAAGTCGACTGTTACATTTAAAAATCAAGGCTGAAAAATAATTTAGGTAGATTTGTACTTACTGATATTTAAAGTGTGGATGGACTATACAAATTACGTTAATTACAGTTTGTAATGAGTAATCTTTAAAATGGGTGAGTTAACTCGTGTACATTTACGATGAATGAGAGGAAAACTGAAAATAATAAAGTACTGTTAGAAAAAAGTAAATATTTATTATTAATATTTAACATAAATATTAAATTTTAATTACACTTAATTTCTTTTGACAAGTACATAACGTATGTTAAATATAAATACTTCATAAAGATAACAGTTCACAGAATTCTATCTCAAAAATCGACATGTAATATGAAACAGATAAATAGTAGATATAACCACAATGATCAGTATGTAATATCTTATGTGTATTTAGTCATACGGTGGTAGATATACTTAGGTACCTACTCGTCTTATTGCCGAATATTTTTAGACATTAATTAAAGTACATACTAGGACAATTTTACATATTCTAAACTCTAACATGTAATACAATGTTATTAGTGTATAATCCTATTTATAATTAGTCACAGCTATCTTGGAGTTTTAAACGTCTTCTTTAGGTAGGTACTTACATAATATATAAAAGTTCCAATTCGTTCCTACAATTTTTTTTAAATCGAATTTAAATTTTGGTAGGAAATAAGATCTCTGACTGATCTTTTATTTACCTACCATTCAAAGATAGGAGTTATGTTTCGCCTTCAATTAACACAAGCTTAGGTGAGACGTATAAGATTAGTTGTACATAAATAACAACTATGAAAACTACGTTGGGACGTAAAATGTCTAAGTGAATACCTATAGATACTGAGCCTAGACAACAAGATGCGACACATCTGGTGTATAGGCGGGCAAGTAACGTGGTACACGTGGCTCATCTCGACGCCTAGCTCCTCGGTCCACCGCAAGGCTGATACTTCCTGCTTCTTTGACTCCGTTTGACTTGGCCCTCCGTTGCGATGGCAGAATGGATGCACGAAGCGTCCTCCGTTTCTGAAAAGTACCGTATACTATCTTATTGTCTGTGAAATCATTCTACTATACATTAATTTGTGTGTGACTACTTACGACAGCAATAGACTAATTACCGTGTCCAGCGAGTTGATGTGTAAGCTCCACAAAGCAGCGGGGACTCATTGTGATTAAAATTAAGAATGTGCATGAACATGAAACATGTTTATTTTAATAAAGTTTGTATATTGGTCGTAACAATACTTCTTTTACATAAATAAATCAGGAATGGCGAACCGGAGACCTGAATATATGATATACTTATGGATGGTACAGTGGCAGCCGTGACCACCACAGCTATTACCTACTTGAGAACAAAAACAGACTTAGAAATATAATATTGCACCTAAACAAATCCTAAATGAAATACATCTACAGTTATTTATGTAGGTAGCTAAATAAATGATATGATAACATTTAAAATATGCGCTAACCCTTATGTGTGTTGTCTATAACATTAAGCCAGCTATAAGCATTTAATTGTGCTCTACAACAGTATCAATTTTACAAATAAGGCATCCTGATATCCAAAGGTTTAACGCTACAACCGCTGAACATGTTTTGCTCACGTATGAGCATAAGCACTACAACGCGCTAAAGTATGTTAGTGGTTCGCTGTCCCTTGTCTAAATATATACAAGTGCGGATAAGTCGTCAGTGGGGCAGGCACACTATATTTTACTCTCTAACTGTTGTTTGATGTTGACGAAGTGGTCCACGGCCATGGCTTCCGCCTTTACTCTGTTTACCTCAACAGCGCCACGCCACCGATCTGCCGCGTGGCGCGCTATCTCCATCCTCTTCTGCTTCTTGATCTGATGACGTTTGTACACCACCTCGATGACTATAAGAACTATTCCCCCTATAATTCCCGCTAACACAAGTATAAACACTCCAGCCATGTTCTTCAAACCCAACGTGTTGGGAGTTTTTTCGTTTTCCTCACAGTTTAGCATGTTGTTTCTCAGAATCCATAGGTTATCCAGAGACTCCATTATTCCACCTGTGAATGAAAATATAAAATTTCAAACTATTCCTAGTTTTTATTATTTATATGTTTTGAATTTACTCTAAAAGAAATATCAGAACCCTTCTGTCCGTCTGTTTGTCTATCAAGATCCCTATTACGTGTTTAGGTAGTCTTCAAGTGTTTTGAAGTTTATGGAATTTTATATACTTAGTTGAGAGGCACTTACTTTCATGAAAATCAAGGATCGCAAGAGTTACCAAATCTGCCCAAGGAGAGCCCTTTTGCAAGCCTACACCGTAGCCCGAACGACCGAACAGTTCCCCAGCCGTCACCAATTCGCAGTCTTGAGCTGCTTCGAATTCCAAGCGAGAAGAATCCCAAATAAATGCCATTAATTTCCTAAAACCATACAATGAAAATATAAGACTACTAAGTCAACACCGAACGGTAAAAACAGGAGAATATGTGTGAGAAAAAATAATGGGTAATTCTGGCAGTTAGGTATAGATATCACTGCTATTTAACAATCTAGGTATGTTCGATTCAATAGATTTGGGACCTTAAGAAAATGTTGTAAAGTCCCATTTTCCCTTATTCTTATAAATCTTTTGAAATCCACTTCATCCAAAAATTTAGGCTACTAAATTTGAATACTAGAGCGGTACTAAAATCTTTTCCCAATATTATCAATCAACTACTGAAATCACGAAACGAAGTAAAATACTCTCCAATTAATAATTTTAACAAGTTTTATAAATTCGTTCAACCTTTTATCCAATATCTTAAACGGAATAGGAATCCGAGATACTGTTAATAGGTAAAATATAGTTAAATTAACCAAGTACTATTTTTACCTAGCTACCTACGATCCCTAGTGATTACAATTATGTCAAAATGACGTCTAGCCACGTCATGATTTACGTAAGATATGAGTCATATATGACTTATAATTTACCACTTCCTGGCTTAAGATTCTTACGTAAGATAAATGACGTAAATAAGACCTCTATTTGACATCATTATGACTTAACTCGCGTCAGAATGGCATAACTCTGATGTCATAGAGTCATTTAGTTGACGTTAAGATGACATAAATGTGAGGTAATATAGCGATATAAATTTGCGTCCAAATGCTTACAAATCTGTGACGCCTTCCCCTCCACATCATCATCATCAACAGCCTTTAATAGTCCACTGTTAGACACAGGCCTCTCCTTAGAAATATATTTAATTATACGTTGTGAAGGGAAACCAGAGTTTGCATGAAGTTATAAGAGCGCCAAAATAAACCTGCATGAGTAACGAAACCATATCGCGACTCAAAAAAATGGTAGCACCCCATCTATCGAGGTAAGACGTAGTTGTCATCACCACTCTTAGTTTTACCTATTCAACATTAATTATAATTAAAGTTGCATTTATCAAACACTCAAACACAAAATTCTATTTCTAATTCGTTTAAGAAAAAAGAAATGCCTTAAGTTTGATATACGTTGACCTCCAAAATGTTTTTATTGCTGACCAGGACACTTTCAGTGACAATAAATTACCAACGGGACCGGTATAAGATGCTGCATGTTACGATTCCACAATAAAAAGTAAGTAACTAACGTCACCCATATGATAGGGTTAGGATATAATATTTACGTAATATTTAAGTCATAATTATGACGTCATATAAAAGTCAGTTTTTTGGTACTATGTCATACTGAGGTCATATTATATAACATCATATCAAAGTCATCGAAGCTCATTTTTACGTCATATTTAAGTAAAAAATCTATAATCTGTGTATGACGTCTTATGGAGGTCATGTGTTCAGTGGGTCGTGATCATATTTGTGACAACCCTTGCACATTTTTATTTGAGACAGTCTTGCAGGTATTTTGCGGTCTATCAAAAGAGTTGACTCACTCTTGGTATTTATTACACATATGGTAAGGTTACTTTGCTCCGTCAATAATCTTGTCCGGAATGGAGATACACGGATAACGGATGCCGGATATAGTGTGTAAGCTACCATAGAAATAGTTCTACGACTACAGGTCGTAGCTCACTTACACGACCCCTCTCCAACACCACACCCGCACAACACCTCCTTAAACGGAGTCTCCGCGCTGTCCACGGGCCGACTGTTTTAGATTTTCGCGACAGACACAGTTTGTGTTCAGTCTCCATTGAAATAACTCGTATTTTTTCACAATGTCTCCATTCACAATGCGCGATCTAGCGATCATTGCTATAGCACTTGATGATGAAGAGAATAGCTCGGGAAACAACAGAAGACAAAGATTTTGGGTGCATAACATGTTAAAGAAAAGCAATTCAGATGGCTTTTTTGTTGTTACTGTAAAGTGCGTCTATAGAGCACGATGTTAAGTCCATATTTGAATGATCATACTTTGGTTGGGCGGGAGCGGAGTCGTTTAAGACGGCTATGACCTTACTTCGTACCGTATTTTCGTACCGGATTAGGATCGGACGTAGTGCGTAACCGCTCTTACAATTTTGGCAATGCGCCACAAACGTTTGCTCGAACGCAACTAGCGCGTAGTATTTGTTTGTTGTTTTTGTTTATAAAAAAACAGAGTGACAAATCGGATTTGCGAGTAAGATGACACAGAACTTTGACCGCTATGCTAATACTGACCAAGAAGTCCCTCGTTTTGAGCATTGAGGCTGTCGCGCTAGTGAAATTTCGTGTTTAAGCACCAGTGCCGCGGAGGCTTTATTCCCTTTCTGTAAAATGCTTTGTTCCCAAAGAAATCGGCGATAATAATACTTTGATACCATTTTACCAGATTCGTGTCAAAGTGAATAAGTTACGATTTTAACTTCCATGCGCTTTTCGATCGATTCACAAGGATCGGTTTGAAACAACCAAACTGTTGACAGACGCTAAGTTTCTAGATCTTTTCAATAAACACCACTTCATAAACGCGTTAAGCTGGTCTTAACGCGTTTACGAAATTGGTCCAAACTTAATTATCGTATCATGACACCGTTATAGGTTACCCCGCTTCTGAGCGTGAGATGTTACGTACCTACGTGAGACACTCAGCGGAACTATCCTCCTCGTACGAAAGTGCTCTTACGACGTTGAACCAATGTTTAATGCGACCCTTTAAAAATAATTTACAGTAGGGAGAGTGGGTCACAGTGGAGCAATCTGCTCCAATTTCAGTTTTCAAACTGATTTATTAGCACTAGTTTCTTTTCAAAAAACTTAGTTTTTTCTTAAAACACATCTAAGGTGTAACACATGGGTGGGTAACACTTAATCAGGAATCTGGGGTACAATAGACCGTACACGGTTCACTAAGTCATAATTATCATCATAAATGCAGTTTTACTTCAATTAAATGCTTTTTAGTATAGATTAGAAACTGTTTGTACTTTAAAACAGTCTTCTAGAAAGTTTCAGTATAACAAAATTATTTTATTAATAATCACAGAATTTACAATACAAAAGTATTTGTCGCCGTCCCGGATTCCTCAATAGGAACAGCTTCACTGTAACCCACCTTCACCTAACCTAGTTAGAGGTCATAACTGCACCCACTATAATTGTAGCCTAGTAATACTACCATGTACCTGTGTACTTCAAAATTTGAAAATTGAAAATAAAATCATTATAATATAACCTGCATCTAAACTGACTTGGGGATGAAAAACTTATATATTTATGCTGTGCTTCATGCATTATTGCTGCACTAAGAAGCATCCTACTGCAGCAATTGCATACAATCCTTCTGTCCACTTTAAAAACTCCGAAAGTGGTTAATTTAATTACATCACTTATTTTAAACACCTACCCTTGCTTAGCATCTTGTATAGCCTGTTCCGCGTTATCATAATTATTGGCTTCCATAGTGCGGTACATGTTGAAAATAAAATCATTATTATTATAATATAACCTGCATCTAAACTGACTTGGGGATGAAAAACTTATATATTTATGCTGTGCTTCATGCATTATTGCTGCACTAAGAAGCATCCTACTGCAGCAATTGCATACAATCCTTCTGTCCACTTTAAAAACTCCGAAAGTGGTTAATTTAATTACATCACTTATTTTAAACACCTACCCTTGCTTAACATCTTGTATAGCCTGTTCCGCGTTATCATAATTATTGGCTTCCATAGTGCGGTACATGTTGGACAACTCAACCTGTCGCCTAAAATACATATCAACAGCTGATCCCTTCACCGTAGCACAAGTAAGGTTTTCCATCGTATTGCGAAGCTGGAAAACACAAAATCAATTGGCAAGTATTAACCACTATGGTTTTCGATTAAATAATAATTCATAGAAACCGCCGCCAAAAACTTGTCCCTACTTTATAAATTAAAATTACATTTATTATTACATTACATTTACATTTTATTATTTTATAATTAATTCAAATTAAATGCTTAGGTATGTTATATACTATAAGTTGTATGATATAAAATAACGAGTTAAAATTCATGAAAAGTGACAAATACTCGTAGACAATAGGTAGGTATGTTTTATAATGTGTGTGAACAGAAAAAGAACATGCACACGAAAATGACAATGAACGAAACGAAAAAAATATATATACATATGTAGGTATAAATATTATTTATCATTAGCTAAATATTTAGTTACATCGAATATGTAATAGGTATAATTATATAATAAATAACAGTGTGATAGTGACCTGAGTGACCTAGCAAAATAAAACAAAACTTGAAATGAATCGAATACAGAATATATTGTTACCCTAGCATCATTGATTCCAGTTAGTTTCGTTTTAGGTCGTTCGAGCACAAGGAAAGCCGCCAAGTTAGCAGTATATGAGGCTACGATGATCATTGCAAATCCTGCCCAAACCATTCCTAGTACTCGAGCCGAGAAACTTCGCGGAGTGCCTGAAATTCCACAAACGCAATTTATATCAAGGAATGCTTTTATTGCGTACAAAATAAATAGTAACAAAGGACTAAAATGTAATAGAGAGTACCTTCGCCTATCCCGCTATTTAAAAGAACTCCCCAGGCAAACCAAATTGCGCTGGAAAGATTTAAAGCATCCTCTTCAGTGCCATCAATATTTGCCAGCTTGAATCGACCGAACGGAGAGAATCTATCCAAAAGGTACAGGACCAGTGCTACCACGTGGACAGAAACCATTACCAGAATCCATAGTGTGTTAGAAAAGGGTTGCAAGAACGACACCAGTGTTGATGAACGTGAGGGCTGGAAATAAAGGTAGGCAATTTTTCAAGTTGTGAGAAATCATCAGTAACCTGCAATAGACTGATTGATCCAACTGTATAATACCAACTATATACTCGTATTGTTATGTTTACACAAGGTTTAAATAAGTATAAGAAAATCCGAGTGTCTATAATTCTATAGCGTAGGTAAAATAAACCCATACGTTATATATACAGCATTTGAATATTAAACAAACTAAGTTGAGGTATAAAAACAGAAAGTTTTGAAAAACAAAACGTAAGTAAGTACATATTGTATATTAATTCTATATTCTTTATATGGCCGCTATCAGCATTGCATATATTTGTCTGTTTGTCAAATCTGGCACTATGTACCTTCTAATTTTGTTTTTTTTTTTCTCTTGTTGTTTTATTAAATATTATACTGATACTCTTACCTTTTTCTCCAAAATGGTTATACCTTGGTATTTAAATGGTTTACTAAACTCAATGAATTCAGCGCGTTCAGGATTTATTGTCAACGGAGCAACAATCATGTCTGCACGTTCATATACCAACTCTCCTAGAAAAGAAATGAAGGCAAATCAATTTAACATAAAGTTACCTAAATAGAATAATTATACATCTGATTATTAATTTGCACATACCTATAAGTCCGGTCCATTCCTTTTTAGCTCCTGGTTGCGTAAAGTTGCGAATAACGTAATTACCGAACTGCCCATCAGGTGAGAGTGCCAAAGAATATGTGAAATTGATAGTCTTTGAGAGATGTTTCAAGAGATCCATACAGAACCCTTTGCAGCAGTAAAGCTGATCTAAAACAACATTACAGTAACACTAATTGTAAAATTATGTATACATCACTGTGGTAGAGGAGTGTTTTTTTTGTTTTGTTTATATAGTTAATATAATCGCTTACATTCTTCAAATAGGGATTAGGAAATATGTGTTATATACTATTGGAGCGTAGATGTATAGCTCAATATACCAATGCCTTACCTGTGTCTTCAGTTGCATTGTAATGTGGACAAGGTATCTCTTCTGGATTACAATCACTCCCGTCATCTATACGACGAGTGTACACAAAAGGTTTCTCTTCTATTGTGAGTACCTACAACAATATAGATATAAAGTATCTAACCTAAAAAATAATAATAAATAAGGTATTAAGTTAAATATTTTTCAACGCAGTATTACATTTAGATGTGTCGGTATCATAAATCCTTCTGGTTTCGATGTGCTACGTCCCATCCAAATAATTTCCTGCTCTTTTAACTCTAGTCTCATTTTATGGGTTTCCTGAAACGGTCAATATTAATAATAACACTTAAAGATTTTACATTAACTAATGGCGCTGGAACAACATTCGGTATTACTCTAAAGGGACTAAAACGTATTTTGTCTTCAAATTGTGTATACGTGTAAAAATGTACAAGTATAAAGTATATTCAACATCTATTGCATTAAGTTGTTTATTAAAGAACTATAATAATGAATATATGTAGTAAGTATATTATATGATTCAATTTAAAAAAGACACCTATTTTAACCAACTTTATTTCACTTCAAATTTCAGTAGTATTGATTTGCATGGTAAAGGCCTTACAACATACCTTGGAGTAAATGTATTTTCCAACAGCAACATGTTCCCCTTGAGCTCTTACATTGACCATGTCATATTCAGCATGAACTCGATCGCCGTGATCGTCAAAAGCCACATATCCTGTAGCTCCGTTCTCCAACCTCTGTTTTCGTATATAGTCGAATAGAAGACGGCCTGTGGTCCAGGTAGTGCCTGAGTTATCACAGTCAGATGGTGGAGCAAGTATTTCATCAGACTTGTTCATATCTCGGATTGCAGATGCGAGAACGTAGCTGAAAATAAAGTTTCTCATGCGCTTTAGGCCTTACGACATTTGTAAGAGTCATCAATCGTTCTAGCGTAATCTCAAAGTCTGTAAAAAGAAACAGTCAACGAAGACTGGGACTTAGAGCAACTGTTAAGCACACTAATAGTTCTTTCGCCTGGGAATGGATCCAAGAATGTTTGTCGTGGGTAACTATGGGTAACTATTTAACGAGTTTAATTCATAAAAATCTTATTTACTTTCTAATACTGCTAAAGAGTGGTCGTACACTGGATATGTGTTTACCAAATTTTAACTTTATTCGTCTTGTAGATCACATGTAGATACATCCTCTAGATGTTGTCTGTAACAGATGGACAGACACAGCATTCCTATGAGTCACCGTTTATTTTATTTGACCGTACGGAATCCTCAGCATTGTGTGTATGTTCTTACATGGAATCCTGAATGTGTGCATGTTCGTTAGTAGCGTTGACTAGTCTTAAGCCAAGCAGGCCTTCGGGTGCATTGGCAGCGTCAAGGGCCTGTTCTGTCACCATCCACACATAGCCGACTGTAGTCATATTTAGGAAGGTCGCGTCGCGGAATATTATTTCTGCATCGGTTTTACTGGAAGGGAAAAAGACAGTGTTTTATATTGTCAATCCCTGTACTCATATTTATGCAAATATTATTATTTGTATAATAATAATAATATTTCGGACATCTGACATACAACGCCATTTAGTTTCAAACTAAGCAATGCTTGTACTATGAAAGCTATATTGACTGAAACAATTTTTTTTTTTGTAAATTCATACATCTTATACATAGAAAACACCCAAACTCCGAAACATATGTTTGGAGATCATACAAACATTTGGACCGACCCGGGAATCAAACCCGAGACCTCAACACAGCAGTCGCATACGCTACCACTGCGCCACCGATCCAGTTTATTTCCATTTCCATGTCTACCGGGAACTCAAGTGGCAGCAACTAGTCTTTTAAGTGTATACGTGATTACTGATTACACTTTTAACCTGGTACGTATATAGATAGGAGATGATCAATTAAATTTTATTAAATCATTTCCTATAGTTGAATAAAACTGAATAAGTACTTACCTGGCATACATAAGAAATACTCTTGCTTGAGCACCTTTAACATCCATAAGTCTGTCGCTGAAGGAGTCCAATCCTGGCTCGAACTCGATCACTTGCTCGACTACTACTTTTCTGTCTACGTCTTCGTCTACACTCTGTGACGTTGTCTGAAATCTATGAATGAATGAAAATGTGAATAGTATGATACCAAATAATACTGTATAACATTTAAAAAGGATTTGGTGAGGGCTTGTTAATATTCACTTTGATAAAACAGATTGTTGCTATTGTCTTTGTTGATCTATGACTTTGGAGTCCATATTAAAGACGTTTTTTTTTATGAAATAAAGTTATTGTGACTTTGATTTCACTTACTGTCAAGTATGCGTAGCGATGCGTATAGCATCAGGCACGATATTTGTATTGTACAAATATATACTAGTATTCTTCTGTAGTAGTTTCTGAGACGTTATTTAACAGAAATTGTATTATATGGACTATATATTTAACTGTTACAGTAATGTTTAACTAAATTAAAATAATTTTCTTACCGTCCTAAAATAGCCCTGCCATCCGTATCAGAGCTATGAATGAAAATGACCTTCATATAGTTGAAATGCTTTAATACGTCGACCCATACATCTGCTTGATGAGAATATGGTGGTACGGTTCTTAAGAAGGATACATGAATATTCTTATCGGAGAAGGCAGAGTCTCTTGAAGAGATGCCTATCACTGGTATATGGTAAAACCCGCTAGTGTATGACACAGCTGCCGGAGAAAGGTCCCCAGTCAGAGGATGAGACACTACTACTGCGTACACCTAAAAAAATCAAATCGTTATGGGGTCAAGCGCTATTTGAACTAGTTTGTGCAAAACGATACAATCGACAAACTTGTAAAATTAATAATGCCTATTAATGAAAAGAATTAACGTATCTGTAACGAAAATATATTTCTAATCATTATAAATGTACGAGTAAAGTTGTAAAGTTTTTCTACAAAGATTACAAAAGCAGATCATACTTCAGCATATTTATATTGTATATTGTTTGTGGATTGGACCATTTCTACACACTATAATTCAATTTACCCAAGCCAAATGCGGAAACAAAATACAGTCATTACAGTCGTCTTATTAATTGTAATTACAGACCTACAAGCAAGGTTCAAGCTTGAAGTCTAACTTTCGTTCGACTTTTACCTACCTCACAATTTTCAACTATTCTCTTAATGCTAACAGCTTCTTGCCCGGACACAATTCACTACAGATGTACACATGTAAGAAGCATTAAACTAGTATACTTACACGGTGGTAAATTAGATTTTTACAAACGTTTAGCGCCGTTTTGATTGGATTTGGGTCCATGAGCATGGAGTAGTCGTGATAAGTAACACCTCGAGGTACATATTGGTCTTTGAAGTTTAGATTCTGAAAAATAAATCAGTAAATATATAAAGCTTTCGTCGGTTATCGCGGTAAAGAGTAGCCTATGTCCTTCCTCAAGAATCAAACTCCATACAAAATAGCATCTAAATGGGTATACCTACTATTATACATTTTCGCATTTATAATATTAGTATGGATAATATATATATATATATACTCGTATATATTAAATTTACTATTAAACAACTGAGCTACTAACCCACGAGAATGCGAATCTTTAGAGAAAAAAATAGTCACACTGAGTAAATATAAATACAGTATTGGAGACGTAAACTTGCAGATCCGATAATTAATAATTACTTAAATTAGATACTCATTGATATACATATATTATATATTGAGATACTAATCAAAGCGTATAATTTTCTTTTGATTTCCTTATTTACAGAACCTTTGCAATAATTACCTACATCTTTTCGATTACATACTTAGGCATATTAATAACTTTATGGAGTGGTTATAAAGATCACAAATATCCGAACCTAAATGAAAACATGCCTATCACACAGAATACAGTATACACTGAATACCTACATCCATATACGCGTACATCCATATATGTAATCGATAAAGCAAAAAAATCAAAATATTTAATAGGTAAAATCCAAGTCAGTTGAGAACCCATGTGTTATAAGTACAGTATTCAAAGAGTCGTGTCAAGGAGTAACTAACAACTTTATGAAGCTTATCAAATAGAGAGATTAATCTAAAAGCTCGATCTAGAGAGTAGAGCTTCAGCAGTTTGTAGAATTAGCTAGAGTTAAGCACTATCCAACTTTATTGGAATCTTTGGAGCAAAGATAATTAAATCATCTCTCTGAAGAAAATCAAATTGCCTGATGAATGAATCATGGACTTGGAAGGATGATTAGTGACGTCGTCTATCGTCTAAAAAGTCGACTGAGTGCAGTCGCATTTTTAAAATGATCTTCCTTTGCGGTTATTAAGGGTGCTACAGCCTCGATTCATCCCCCATTACTAATTATTGTTGTGCATCTAAAACATACCGAGATTGTATCCTTAAAGTAAGTAACAGACTCGTTACTTGACAGGACTCCTCCGACATTGTAATAAGTAGGGTTGGAGTAGCGTCTTCGCTCTGTGGATCCAATGTCACCGGTGACCAGCGTCCCCCAATTTAAGATAACTACGACGAGCAGGTTATTCGACCACATTTTAAAACTGTAAGAGAAAATTTATTACTGAAATATCTAATCATATGCCTAATTCTTAACTAATTTAAATCAAAAATATTATTATATCTCATTACATTCCTTTAATTCAAGGTTAAGTTAAAAGCATAACCCAACTCAATTCCGTGCAGTTCCGTAATTCTAATTTTTGTTTTTGTAATTTTAATTAAAAATAATATATTACAAATAGCGATTCGATACAATGATAACATTAAATAAGGATTTATAACATTACATACAGAAATGTATGGCAAAGTTCTGCATTTAATGATACATGCCACTACAAGTAGGTATCAATTTAGAAGTATCTTCTTCTAGTACATTTATAATTATAATATCTTAATTTTATATATAGCTCAAATGTCTTCATAAAAATTACAGAATGAGCAGTAGATTTTGTTATTATTTTACTTTCAGCCCAATCAACATCCATCAAATAAAGCCATATTGTTTATAAACCGTTTATGTGTCATAAAGTATTAACACTAAGTGGAAGACTTCAGAGGGATGTGCAAAGTTCGTCACAGTGGTGATTACGTAAAGACCCAACTTTAGATTGCGTATGAATACTTCAGTTACACCCTATTTACATCACACTACTTAATAACCTACCTTAATACCTACCTACACAAAGGAGTTAACAGTCAATGGCCTTACCTTATTTTGGGGATTAATCTGGTTGGAATTCTCTACATGTTTCTTATTTTTTTAGCACAGACAAAAAATGTTTTACAGCATCAGATGGAGGATGCTGTAAACGACAGATGGAGCTGCATCTCCCGTTGCCATAGCGACGCGCAGGCGTACTGTACAATTCAATAAATGTATGTCGATAATTGGGATTCAGCAAACGTGATGGTGATATAGTTATATACAACGCCTATGATACAAACTTATAAATTCGTAGATAACTGGTAATACTGGTATTCCTTTAAACATTTTTGAGTCATAATAATACAATAAAAATAAAATAAACATATTAATACACATATCAGGCAAACTGTGTTCGTAACACAAACCAGTAGGTATAATAATAATTATTAGTGTCCTACCGAAACAGGTTTTTCAGCCGAAATCGAAACCGAACTTTCGGCCTCAAAAACTTCCACTGTAACTGCAATCTCGTGTATTTTTTTGCCCTTTATCTGTTTATACCTACATAAAATTTAAAACCACTGTAATAATGTAGACACGTGCCATCAATTCTGAATAAAAAGAGAAAACAGTAATTAGGAAGGTAGATAAAAAAAAAACGTAGCTAAAAATTGAAATTAACCAGACTCACTCACGCGATAGGCGGGAAAGACCGGGGCGAGGCGGCTGAGCGGTAATTTGAACGGACTATACGCCTTTTCTCATAGTTAAATTTAAACAACTGAAGATAAGACGTAGTATAAGTTTTTTGGATGGTTAAAAATTGTGAAATAGGGGTACAGAATGTAATTAACAATACTTAACAATAATTAACTATCACAAACACACACATCTAAGGGTCGTATTACAACTATTCGTCGTATTAACTAGTCGTATTATAACGTATACAAATATTCATATATATATCATATATGAATATTTGCATAAACCAAAAATGAATCTAATGTTGAAGTTTTGGAGGCGCTCAAGTTTATGAAGTTGCTCCTCAGTGATATCGAGATAACAGACATCAGCGTAATAGAGTATAGGAAGGAGCAGGGATTCAGCTAGCGCAATTTTAGTGACCGTTAGTAGAAAGAAAGTAAAAAGTAGCAAAGTATTCGCAGTGAACCCGAGGACTAAAACCCTTTTCTAATAAATTGAGGCCCCAAGATAAAGTACTATCAGAATTCCTAAGTTCTTAACACAAGTACTAATCAAGAGAGACAACACCCTTAAATTTGATGTCGGGTAATTCAGACCAGTCTTTGATGGATTAACAATTAGTCCATACTGGTTGTTCCATTTACACACCCGCGCCAAATCCAAGTTCATAACAGAGCAGGAATTTAAGAAATTATTAACGGTTTAAAAAAGTTTGTCATTTTCAGAGTTAGAATCATGAAATAAGAAATAATCACGAGAGTAACACTACTGGACATAGGCCTCTCCTTAGGTTTTAGCCTACCACGCTGGCTGGCTGGCACCAAGTTTTCCTTCTCTTTGCAGTGTTGTTGTCCTTTTTTTTTCCGTGCGGAAATCCCCTCGGATACCACCTGTCGGTGGCATGTCGGACTCGAACCGACTAAAACCGCACGCCGTCTCGGGTACTAATAGCCGGGGAACCAGGTATACCCTAGAAAGGAAGTCCCTGGTGAGTGTTGTTGTCCTGCGTAGTTTGCTCCCTTATTCGGCTCTTACGACACCCACGAATGAATGGATGAATGGGGGTGGGGACAATCCGTATTCTTAATCCGTCACCACAAGGACGAAATTTTACCTTATACAATTTTTTTATAACTTACATTCTTTATTTTATGCTTTTTTTACTGTTGTGTAGTTTATAAATTGTTTTATAATTTCAATTACTAAAATTGTAGTTAACAAACTGAGATGGTTAATAATAGGTTTTTTTTTTCTTTTTTGACAAATATTGTAAAAAAAAATGACAGTTAAACTGCAGCTTTGTTTAAAATATGTACGTATTCTCAACTATCTAACAAGGTGTAATAGTCTAGGATAGTATCTGACGGGCACGAAGTCATCGCGGCGGTAAGACCCGTTATGGAGGATTGGCTCGAGAGGCGTCACGGGACCCTCTCATACCGAATGACGCAGGTGATCACTGGGAAGGGATGTTTCGGAGATCACCTGAGTCTGATCCGCAAGGAGCCAACGCCTGAGTGCCACCACTGCGATGGCCAGACCGTGGACACGGCTCTCCACACGCTGGCAGAGTGCCCGACGTGGGTTGAGCAGAGGCGAGACCTCGTGGCGGCCATCGGAGTGGGAGTTCTCTCGCTCGATAGCCTGATTGCGGCTATCGTGCGGAGCGAGAGTGCGTGGAACTCTGCCGTCTGCTTCTGCGAGCAAGTTATGCTCGCGAAGGAGACGGCGGAGCGGGACCGGGAGAGGTTTAGAACTCTCCCGGCCCGCCAGGCCCGGGAACGGGCCAGGTACCGCAGGCGACTCAGGCGCCGGAGGTCGCAGAACGACCTCCGTCCTCCATAAGCGCAGGCCTGGGGGTGACAGGTGAGGCCATCTGTCACCCTAGCAGAAGCAGGCCGGGGTGGCTGCGGGCGCGTTGCGAAGCGCGCTTGCTTCCAGGGAGCACAGGGAACATGGAGTTCCCACACGGGGGGGGGGTCGTCTACTCGTCTGTAGATGACCCGAGGTATGTCGGGGCACCAGGGACTTCCTTTCTAGGGTATACCTGGTTCCCCGGCTATTAGTACCCGGCGACGGCGTGCGGTTTTAGTCGGTTCGAGTCCGACATGCCACCGACAGGTGGTATCCGAGGGGATTTCCGCACGGAAAAAAAAAAAAAAAGGATAGTATCTGAATTCATAAAAAAAACTTAGATGAACGACCGGAGATATTAAGAATTAGCGTACAACCCGGTAGTATCTAGTTGAAAACTTGGTTTGTATTTTTGGACGGTTTCGTTTATTTTCTTTTTTTTTTATGTTAGAGGGGGCAGAGGAGCAGACGGGTCACCTGATGGAAAGTGACTATCGCCGCCCATGAACGTCTGCAACTCAGGAGTCACAAACTAACTAATGACTAACTATTGCTAAGTGGACCTTGATTTGTGTTTCTGATACTATTGAAGATTACTACCTACAAGAACGAGGAATATGCTGATATTATGATTTGTAATGGATACTGCTAACACACGGGCTAATGGATGAATACATATCCCTGTTGTCGAGTGCCGGATGTTAATGTGTGGGACGAAAACTATCGACAAATTAGAGTGACCGGCTCTATTTCAAGGCGTCAAATTGATCTGGGTCGATCAGGTTTCACTGATGAAGATGATGAAGAAGACAAAAAAGACAAAAACATTGTTATTAATTGGGACTGCACGGATGGCGTAGTGGTTTAAGTGAGCGTCATGCCGCTATGCTGAGTGTTGTGGGTCCGATCCCCACATGAACAACACTTTGTGTGATCCACAAGTTGTTGTTCTGAGTCTCGTGTTCTTTGTGCCCGTTTCATATTTGTTTCCCGCGACACAGGATGTATTCCTAATGCCTATTGTTCTCTATTTAAAAAAAAACCATATATATTTCAAAAAATGGTTTTTATTACTTATAATAAAGAGTATTTACTGTAAGTTTGAAAACGCTACTACCAAAAATGAACGAAGTTTCATATAAATTTCAAACCAACTATTATGCAGGGTGCGTGATGGGGGTTTGATATTTATAGAAGTGTAATTTTTGAAAATTATTTAGTAGTGCATAGTAAGTGCAGTGCAGTAGGAACATTTGTGCAAAATTTCCATGCTTCTAAACCCAGCGGTTTCAGCTGATCAGTGAATCAGTCCATTAGTTTCTTCTTTTATAGATCTGTTGATTTCAAGATATTATCAAATCAATAAAACTATTAAATTGATAATGGAGGACAATTCTTCTTCTTCTTCTGAAAAAGTGGAAAAGTTGTAAAAACATTTTCTTAATTAGGAAAGAAGCGGGTGGTCTTAAGCCTCGTGGCAACAATCAAAACACAAACACCCAAGTGTCTATCGATAAAAGCAGTAGTTTTTGCTCTTTAAAATAAAATTATCTTTTTTGTACACCAGTTCAGGACATTATACATAAATAGTATTTCAAGTTAATAACCACGTAGTAATGGCCACCTTAGCGCTAAAAAGCAAATTCTTATTTAAAGAGATTTAACAAATATGATAATGCGACTTAAGATCTGTAGACTTAATCTTATTTATAAAATTCTCGTGTCACAATGTTAGAGTTACGAGTACCATACTCCTCCAAAACGGCTGGACCGATTTTTATGAAATTTTGTGTGCACATCAAGTAGGTCTGAGAATCGGCCAACGTCTATTTTTCATACCCCTAAATGACAAGGGTGACCCACCCCTAAATTTATTTTTTCAATATTTCCTAGAAATGTATATGGCAAAACAACGTTTGCCGGGTCAGCAAGTAATTTATCTAATATGTTCCTCTCCGTATTTCTATATTAACAATTTTATATATAGTGTAATTGATCCGTGCGCTAGTGTGACATTACTCTATAATCAGCAAAGTTGTTATCCTTTATAAGAACACTACGCGAGGGAGAATAAAAAGTAAACAATATTAATAGATCAATTATTTTATTACTGAAATAGCGTAATAAGCATCTTGCAACTATCGTTCATAATAATGGAGATTTAAGTCAACTGTACCTCCATGTCACTACAACTATAATTTTTATCCATGTAAGTACCAGAAAATTTAAGCTCATTTAATGGAACATAGTTCTAAAATATTAAGTATATTACTTAAATATATTCTAAAAACATCTAAGAAAAAATTTAAGCGGAATCGTAAAAGTGTCAATTTTAACTCTTATGACCAGGCCCACGCTCCGTTGGAAGGCACCCAAGACGAGACCCAAGGTTGTGTTTGCCAGTCGTGTGTTTGTGGGCGTAGGGCTGCCGCTGCAGCAGTGGCCGCGTGTTGTGCTGCACCAGCTGCACCGGCGGCACCTGAACTCTGAATCACTGACAATTTCAGGGCTTCTATGTCTGTAACAATACAGTGACTAATTAATAATTACTAAATAAGACTTAATAACAGATTAAATTATTATTTACTTACTAGATAAATTAAATAAATGTTAAATGAAACAAAAGGCAACTATTTTACAAAACTAAAAATTTACTCGTTTGTGATACAAGTCTCATTCAGTCATAACATCTTATTTGTAGAAATTAGTTTAAAGGTCAAACCATTCAACAAATTTAAACAAATAAAATGTGTGAAGTACAGCCTGGCAAACAAAGTCATAGTTAAATATGAACTCGTACATTATATGTATGTGTGCTCTTACTAGGGTAATAAAAGTTTCAAGTGGCGCTATTTGGCCACATTAAAATTGGTTTTATCTAGTTTTTAAAGCACTGTAAGAAAATAAGAGAATGAAATTGTTGGTCATACCAGCATTTTGTAATCTAGCCGCTTGGTTGCTGGCAGCTCGCTGTATAGCTTTAGCAGCAGCCGCTTCTCTTGCTGCTGCAATCTTTTGAGCAACAGCGGCACGTGCTTTCGCAGCTGCGAGTTGGGCCTGTGCTTGTACAGCACTCTGTGCAGCTTCCAGAGCGTGAGCGCGAGCACTCCTTGCAGCTTCCTCACTGGATATTCACGTGAACATAATTGTACTAAGAAATATGTTATGGCCCTGATTTTAAAAGTTATTACTGAAAAACATAGTAACTCAATTTAATCGTTAACTTAAATCAAAGCAGAACTAAATAAAACGCTTTGCCCTTGGCTTTACTTGAGTAAAGTTAAAATAAAATTGTACGCATTAAAAAAAAATGCGCGGGAAAAATGTAGGTTCAGCTTCATCCATAAAAAGTACTGTTTCTGAGGGTAAATATTTTCCTATCTGCCTCCTACCTACCTGCCTATCTTTCTACTTGAACAGTACTTTTTATAGATGATAATGACCCTATATCCTTTTCTGTACCCGTGTAACATTTTATAATGATCGGTTAAATAAACTCGCATTCGCATTATAACAGTTGGATAGATTTAATAAGTTGGAAGTATAATAGTTCCGAAATACGTGATACTAGGGAGCAGAATAATAATATACCTTTTGTGTGCAGCGCGTGCTGCAGCCGCTTCCTTGGCGCTAGCAACACTTTGTTGTTCCAGAGCGGCGTGTTTCGCCGCGGCTACTTCGTGCTGAGCTGCCATTACGGCCCCCGCAGCTGCCTTTGCCGCAGCTACTGCACCCGCTATATCTGAACTTGTATCTGATGACCAAGTAACGTAGAAAAGTACTTAATCCTGATTTCAGTTTTAAAAGATGGCATCGTACTTTGAGCCCTTATTCAAAAATAAATATCAGTTCTTTTAGAGGAATGTGCACATACAACTAAACACAAAAAACCCAAAACATAAATAAACGCTTAAGCTAAGAAATCCCTTAACAAAAAGTACCTTTAAACAAATCGATGCGGTTTTGGCCTACTATACCATGCTGGCTAGACGGGTTGTAGTATAGGGTTTGTTTCAAATTTTACTTCTCTTTACAGTGCTGTTGTCCAGTGTAGTTTGCTCTCTTTGTCGGTTTCTACGACATCCACGAGATGAATAGGGGTGGTGACCCTCCGTATTCTTATTCCGTTACCACACTGATATCTAGGAATACGTTACCTATAAATTAAGATATAACAATACCATGTCCTTGTGGTGTCTGAATCCAAGCAGCGACTCCTGGCCAGTTGACCGCTTCAAAACTGACGCTTCTTTTGTCCGGTTGGATATTGGTGTTTGAGGCGCCCGCTAAAAGGAACATCGCTGCTAATACCTGGTTTACAAAAATAATGCAAAAATATTGATTTCATTTTAATCCCAGTAAAATCGTTATGTATATTGCCCAACATCTAGAACAAGCTCAGTAACTGGTACCAAAAGCGGTCTCTACTTCTATACTAGTGTAATAAATACGAAAGTACCTCTTACTTCAAAAGTCAAAAAGTTTATAGTTACTTTGTGTTTTTTGTATTCGTACTATTACTATTATAAAATATTATTTTTGATAAAATTACGATATCCTTGATATTCATAAGAAAATATTGTATCATATTATCACTGATTATCCTACTAAAAATCAAGTTAAATGTTTTCGTAGAAATCTGTAACTTACTTACTTTCCATTAATTATTATTAATGGAAAGTATCCACTTGCCATTAATAATAATTATTGGAAAGTACTACTCAAATTGTAATGTAGGTATAAGTTAACAAAAAAGGGATGCTCTGTTTGTGTTTAATATTTTTCGTGTCTAGAAAGCGGTAAGTTTTATAAGAAACTGAGTATAGTTAGTTTCATCAGTAAAAATCGTGTTGTTTTAGATGTTAGGAATAAATAAAAAACAAGTCACTAAAAATAATGATTAGCGACTTTACAAAGGACTAAAGAAACTTTTGTTTATTTTAGTTAGATTATTATTATGAAACTTATCAGTAAATGAGTAAGTGAAATAACAATTATTTTTTTAAAACATGAGTTAATTCATTTTATATACATAGTACAAAACTTACCACGACGTTCAATTTCATATTGTTTGTTGTTTGTTCTGTGTGTTCAAAAATACTGTGATGAATAACTGGAGGAATTGAACCATTATATACGATCTGTTGCGGAAAGTGATATAGAAAGGGAATTAAAGGTAGCCGTACCTAAAAGCTATCAGAACCTATCACTTAATAGCTCCTTCACTTTCTTAGACTAGTACTTTACTTTGTTACGGCGTTTAAGAATGTTAGACAGACTTTTTAACTGATTTCAAAAAGGCAAAAGAGGAGGTTCTCAATTCGACTGTATTTTGTTTTGTGTGTTTGTTACGCGATATATCCGTCAATTGTAGACCGATTTTCAAAATTATAATTATAATCGAAAGGGTATACTCCCGAGATGGGCCCATAACCACCTACTCAGGATCTGATGATGGGATCCAAGAGAAATAAAGGGGAAACCCTGAAATTTTACAGTCCCGACAACATCGGGCGTCGTTTGAGCTTGTTTCTCTAGCTATATAAGAATTTTCGTTTAGTATTCATCAGGTCATATTGCTGAGCCGTTAATAGGAAATGAGGATAACTCTTTCAAAAAGCTATTCATGTATTGACCTTGTTTTATTCTTTCAACAGAGGTATTTCTTAGGTGTTTGTGTTGGGTTACAGAGACACGTGTGTACACAAGAAAGTAAAACTTAAATGAATGAGATTACAAAACACTTACTTAGATAAAAAAAACGATTTCAAACAATACTAAAGAATTAAGCACTCAATATAATTCTAATGAACCATCGCAGATTTTGTTAATTTTTATTTTTATTAAATTTAATTTCTGCTTTATTTTAAGCAAAGGCTGTTTGTCTGCTAATAGCATCGCTTGTCCTTTTTTTTTATGTATTGTTAATATTAATTATCATTTTTTATTAAAAAGCATCATTTCGGGAATCAATTTCATAATATAAGCTTAAGCTTTTTACTAAGCTGTTTTGTTGAACAGCTTAGTAAAAAGTATTACACGAGTTGTAATTAGACTATTTTAATAAGTATATTTTATTGTTAAATACATGTGCACATGTATCGTGATGAACATAAATGGAGTATTTAACAATATTATATTATAAAAAAAATATATAATAATTAAATACTCCATTTATGTTCATCACGATACATGTGCACATTAATCCACTTCAAAAAAAGCTTCTCAATTCGAGCAAAAAACACTCCAATTAACGAATATACCCTCTATTCGCCAATTGTTGATAGATTTCAATAAATAATTCCCGAATAAAAATTATATGAAAGTTATATAACGCGAAACTTAAAAATTAGCTTTGCATTTTTGTTAATTAGTACTCGTTCATCGTGAGGCTAGTGTAACAGCTTTAGAATGTATTATATCCGATAGAACTATAAACTTTTGAAGTCCAAACTCTGCTGTAAAAGCAGGATTGGAGAACTATTGACAATTAAACGATGAAGATTACAGTATATCTGAATATACCACGATTTATGCGTATCGATGTTACACTAATTAATAATCTGAAAATAACTACTTAAAAATGTGAATAAAACACAAACCTTATGAAATTAACTTAGAACTGAAAATGGTATTGAAATTGTATAATCTGGTTCAGCGAAAAATGGCAAACAAACAAACTCTCTTTCACATTTTTAAAAGAAGTATGGATTATTAATTCTATACTAAGTTAATGATTTTTCACTGCTAAAATACCATTTAACTATAATTCATACATAGTTTGATATGCACATAAAAACGTAACGCAAGTACATTTTCTTCTCAATTGTAAAGAATTCACGAGGTATCGCTGGCAAAGCAGCTGGCGGCAGTGGCGGCAGAAAACTTAAAGCTCTAATTTAAAAACTCGATTCTTCCAATCTCGCAATTACTACTGGATTTCTTATTTCTCGTAACTTCTTGTTCTTCATCAGAGAAAGATGATGATGAAGAAAAAGAAATATACATTATAAATCTCTTTAGGAGCCCCTATTTTTTTTAATTTCTAAAAGAATCCATATTAATGCTGTTTTGAAATATTAATACGCTAACTATTTTAGCAACAAAAATCTTGTAAGTAAAAACAAAACTGTTTGCTTTTTCCAAAATTGCCATATTTACTATACCTATTAAGCGAACATCATCTATAGTTAGTCAACTTTCAAATCTGGCAACACAGATTCAGACACTGTTTCTGTCATTCGCCACACATGAAGTGACTTTCAGAGTTTCTGAAGTCGCTTCAAATAAATGAAATTTTGATTTAAGCATGCTGACTTTCTAGCATTTTTATTTTTTCTAAATATTATTTATACCTTTTGTAGCTTTATACAACAGTCACGGCACAGGTGAGTTTTGATTTCTTTAAAATGAAAATGTATTAAAATCTACATTGTAGTTGGAGATATATACCTAGGTTTTACCATGGGATAGCCATGATTCGGCGCACATAGGCCTGCAGTGTTTCCTTAGAAAATAGCACTGCAGGCTCGACTGGAGTAATACCACGACCTTACAGAAAACCGGTATTAAGTAATTCTTTCGTCGCTTTACACTGAGTGAGTGAGGTTACCAGGCCCAAATCCCCCTCCGTTTCACTGATTCTGCGAGGTCACTCAGAGGGCGGCAAAGCACTTGTGACTCTTGGGTTCCAGGTGTCAATGGAGGCCGTAGTCAGTGTCCATCAGGCGACCCATCCGTATACCGTAGAAAAAGATTATAAAGTACCAATCTTTTCCAGATTGGTACTTTGGTCGCTAATTTGCTAGTAATCTACGAATAATAATTTATCATTATTATTCGTAGCTAATTTAGAAAAGAAAAATCATACTTACTGCGCCGACCCCAAATAAAATTGGGATAAGGGTAGGCAGATGATTCTTAAAAAGAAAAAAAGAAAAAAAAAGAAGTCAGATGATGATGATGATTCGTAGCCAATAATATAAGAACATTTACTGTTTATTAGTTCTTGGGTATCGAGTTTCATTTTGTATATTAAGTTAGACAGTCTACACCGGAGTGTCCTGTAGCTTCACACCTAAAATGTGAAGTGGACTGTCCACTCCGCATTTTAGGTATGAAGCCACAAGTATGAAGGAGTTTGACTTATCGGGCTGAATTCGGAAGTCTGTCGACGTAGGGGCCAGGAGTATGTGGTGTTTCCACTAATTTTAGCGTTCGCGCAATTGTTAAATAAGCACGCCTGCACCTGGCAATCTGATTAATCAGCGGTTAGCAACCTTTTGGTGTATTCTGTCGTGAACATATTTTTCGTTCATTATGAAGTGTGCGGCTTGTAACGCAGAGTTTAATGACGGAGTTCAGTGTGGGATATGTAAGAAACATTTTGACTTTGGCTGTGTTAATATGACCGAAGCTGGATGGAGAAAACTGGGAACTGAAAGAAGAGCTTTGTGGAAGTGTATGGCCTGTCGAAACAATAGTCAGTCTCCCAGTGCGTCTGCAGAGTCTGTCTCGAATAGAACCTTACTCAATGAGATCAGGGAGATGAAGGCGCAGCTTTCTGGATTGGCTATGCTTCATGAAGACGTTCGTACCATGAAAGAGGAACTCGGCGAGGTCAAGAAGAGCCTAGATTTTGATAACGGCAAAGTGGAAGAGTTTGCAGTTAAACTGAATAACTTTGAGTCTCGAATTGTCTGCCTAGAGGCTCTCAGGAGCAAAGTTCAGTCCATGCATGACGATATTAGTGCTATCAAATCAGAATTGTCTGCAACCGACCAGAGGTCTAGACTTAATAATATAGAAATAAAAGGTGTTCCGTCGAGCAACAACGAGAACTTATTTTCTATTTTGGAAACCATCTCTCAGAAGGTTAATTATACGTTCCCGAAAACTCAAGTGAATTATGTGTCGAGAATACCATTGTTTAACACGAAAGAGAAATCTATTGTTGTGAGTTTCCTCAACAGATATGTCAAGGAGGATTTCATTGCGGCTGCACGTGCTGTTAAGAACCTAACTACTCAGGACCTTGGATTGAAGGGTCCGGCAACGAGGGTCTACGTAAATGATCACCTGAACTCAGCCTCCAAGAAGTTACTCAACAAGGCTAGGACATTGGCGAAGGAGAAAAATTATAAATTTATTTGGGTTAAACACGGGAAAATACACGTTCGTAAGCTTGATGGACACCATGTACTTGTAATAAACAATGAAAAAGATTTAAACAAAATATCCTAATCTACTGCGTTAATCAATATTCGTTGCATTGTGTTAAATATTCAAATTATAATGTCATTGTTTTTAAAATTCGCCATATGAAGTGTTTGATAATTACTAAAATGTTTAACATTTGTAAAAGGTTTAGCATCTCTGCCTATCTCGAAAGTTCGACATGTCGCTGCTGTTCTCGCTCGCTGGTCATAGATATCCGTTATTGCACTATTTCTAATATAAACTTAAAACAGAATCTACTTTTCTTGCTCGCACTGCTTGCACTTATATGTGAATCAATTCATTGCTTTCTCGCTCACCCAATTACTTGGTATTTGCATATTTATAGCAGCCTACCTGCTTCTCAGTTTTATAAAAATAACTATTCAAAATACACTTCGCTTATTTTATTTTTTTCATAGAATCATATTGCATATAGTTATTAAGGCAGTTGCTATTACTTCTAAAGTTTTTAATGGCTAAGAATAATATTAAGAATCTTCGCATATACTACCAGAATGTGCGAGGGCTTCGTACCAAGACTGATGTTTTTTATAGGGAAGTGTGTGTTAACTTATATGATGCGATTGTGTTAACGGAAACTTGGTTAGTGGATAGTATCTCGGATTCAGAATTGTTTAGTGATCAGTATATTGTGTGGCGCCGTGATCGTAATTATTTTCGGACTGGTCAAACGCGCGGAGGTGGGGTGTTAATAGCTATTCGTAAAGAGATATCGGCAATGCCCCAACCATCTTTTCACTCCTCAGCGGAAGATTTATGGGTAACAGTGAACCTACGTTATCCTGGTACAAGGGAGGTCTTCAGGCTAAACGTGAGTGTCATTTACTTATGTGCGGAAAGTCAGGGATTCTCTTTTTCGGAACAATTGTCTGATTTTCTTAACAAATTGAATAGTACAATGTTAAATAACTTAGATGATAAATTTTTAATCATAGGTGATTTCAACTTAAGTGGCATTTCATGGCAATTAACGGACAATGTTTTGCAACCTGTAAACATATGTAGCAGTGACGAGCATATGTTAACGGATGAGATGCGTATTCTAGGTCTGAGACAGTACAATGGTATATTAAACAACTTCGGGAAGACTTTGGACCTGGTTTTGTGTAATGATTGTGTGTCGGTGAGTGAATGTCCTGTGCCCTTGGTAGCTGTCGATAAATATCACCCTGCTCTTTTAATTAATTTGAACTCCGCGGAGTACACACGTTTGATTCCTGCGTCGTACACCCGGTATACTTATGAGAAGGGTGATTTTATTTCGATAAATAAAGAATTGTCGGCTGTGGATTGGGATACCGTGTTTATGAATATGACGCTCGACGAATGTGTGACCTATTTTTATAATACGTTAGCTTATATTCAAAATAAATATGTTCCTAGCAAGAATATATATTATAATTCTTATCCGATTTGGTACTCCTCTTCACTTAAACGACTAATAAAAGAAAAATCGAAATACCTACGTAGATTTAAGATATATGGCAGACTTTCTGACCAGGCTACGTTTAGGCTTTTACGTGATAGGGTGAAGAAACTTGAGGCTGACTGCTACTCTAATTACCTAGCTGCCACTGAAGAATCTATTGAAAGGAATCCTAAGTATTTTTGGAGTTTTGTAAAGCAACGCTCTAAATCTAATTCAATACCTAGTTACTTTAATTATGGTGGCGTATCGATCTCATCTGCTGATGAAATATGCAATGCGTTCTCTTCACATTTCCATTCCACTTTCATTGATCCAGTTAGTGATACTGCTATGAATACCTGTATTGCAAGTACATCATACACATCTTGTGATATTAATTCAATTGAAATTAATTTGGAGTATATTACTAAAATTCTGAGTGGCCTTGACCCAATGAAGTCAGCCGGCCCTGATTACCTATCACCTAAATTTATAATAAAATGTGCTAAAACTGTAGCTTTGCCGATATCGCTGTTATTTAAGAAATCACTTGCTATTTGTGCTGTTCCTCGGATTTGGAAGTCTGCGTTTGTTACACCCGTGCACAAGAAAGGGCCTAAAACTGCAATTGTTAATTATAGACCCATTTCCAAATTATGTGTTTTGGCAAAAGTCTTTGAAAAGGTTGTTTACGATCAAGTGTACGCGGCGCTTAAAAATACTTTTAATCCATCACAACACGGTTTTTTAAGAGGACGTTCAACCGTTTCAAACTTGGTACTACTGAATGATTATGTGACGCAGGGCATGGATGATGGTGCTCAGGTCGATGTTATTTATACTGACTATAGCAAAGCGTTCGATAAAATAGATCACAGCATACTGAAAATAAAATTGTTTAACAGTGGCATAAGGGGGGACTTACTTCGGTGGTTTTCCTCTTATCTTGAAAATCGGACTCAGGCTGTAGTTGTCAGTAATTATATTTCTGGCTGGGTTTCTATCCCCAGCGGCGTGCCCCAGGGTTCCTCAATGGGTCCATTGCTTTTTACGATTTACGTGAATGACATCGACTCCTGCTTCCAAAGTTCTAATCTGCTCTGTTTTGCTGATGATATGAAGATCTATTCTGCAATATCATCGGCAAACGATGTGCAGGCGCTTCAATCAGACTTATCACGACTTGATCACTACTGTCAATTAAACAAATTAGAACTAAACCCCGTTAAATGCTCAGTCGTCACGTTTGGTAGAAAACGGTCACCAATACTAGCACCATACGAACTTAAGGGACAAATATTGCCAAGATGTGATGGGGTACGTGACCTTGGTGTTTACCATGACGCGAAGCTACTGTTCGATGTGCATATTGAGCAAATTATTGCTAAAGCTTCCAAGGCTTTGGGGTTTGTAATGAGAATTGCCAAATGTTTCGTAAAAGCTAAAACGCTTAAAATTCTCTACTGTACTTTTATTAGGAGCCACCTGGAGTATGCCTCGCAAGTTTGGAACCCTTGCTATCATAAGTACATTGATCGCATTGAGAACATACAGAAACGTTTTCTGAGGTTCTTGTGTTTTCGTTTAAATATTTCTTATAGCTCAAACAATTACATTGGTCTGTGTAAGAAATTTCATATCCAGCCACTTGTAAATCGACGCCGATTAGCTGATTGTTCTTTTCTTTTGAAAATTATTTCTAATGAGATTGACTGTCCTAGCCTTTTGCAAAAGTTAAATTTTAATGTCCCACGTAAGTCGATTAGATTTAATCCACCCATTTCTATTCCAATTTCTTCCTCAATCTATAGAAAAAATTCATATATTGTGCGAGCGAGCGGAGATTTCAATAAATTGTGCAAGGAATACTCTCTTGATCCCTTTAATACCAAAAGCAATGTTGTGCGCGGTATGCTAAACCTTAAATTTTTTAGATCGTAACATTTTTAGATCGATTATTATTTATTGTATAGTTGTATAGGTGTAGTGTCGTATTAGTTAGTGCTCCAGAACCTCTGTTATTTACAATGATTTTATTCGTGAAAACCTGTAATTGGCTTGATGTAGCATATCAATCTGACCATTTCATTTTTGTAGCTGTTGGTTTTCCTAACTGAAATAAATAAATAAATAAATAAAAAAACAACCCCCTAGCCGGACGCCCTCAGGCGCATTACTCTAGGGAGGACCCGAATCATGTGATTTCAGGTCCTCCCCGAATCTACGCCGCGCTTAACCAGGCCCTATCCCGGGGCACAGGAGTTTGCGGCCGGGGTATGTCGGAATCGAACCGACTAAATCCACACGGTGTACCACTCTGCGTCTGAAATAGGTTAGCTTTTTTTTAAGTGTAGAAACCCCCTTGGTCCGTCACCCCACCTGGGTTTGCGGCGGAGTAATGTGTCGGAATCGGACCAACTAAAACCACACGGTCTGCCACTCTGCGCCTGTAACAGGAGGGATCCGGGCACTCCTGTTATTAAGACATCCGGACTGAAATAGGTTAGCTAGTTTAGCCTAGGTTTATTTAAAATGTTTATTATTTACATAAGGACTGTAAGTCATGTAGCTTTCTGGTCTTTTTTTTTTTTTTTAAAGGTTTATCCTAACGGCGTCAAAAGAGTACTTAAGTAACGATGTCTGACAAGAAATCGCACTTTACTTTATTGTATGTCAAGCATTGTATGTCGCTATTTAACTTTAACAAAGTAGCTAAATATTAATTGAAAATATAAAGCTTTAAACACAGCTTTTTTATGGTATAAGGGGGCAAACAAGCAGACGGGTCACCAGCAGATGGTAAGCAACTACCGCCGCCCATGGACACTTGCAACTCAAAAGTCACAGTTGCTGCCCTTGGAGTCCCTCCCGCTCGATTCAGAGTACAGCTGTACTTAATACTTCTAGGTTTTATGCCAAAACGTATATAATATGGGTCTTTTTTCAGAAAATTTACAAGTATGGACTTACAACATAATAAAAATCAAAATGTCTTCGAAACAACCACCTCCTCCAACTCCCCAAAGGACTTTCTCGTAAGCAATATACCAGTTTTTATTTTTATGTCTACTTGGCTATTTCTGATCGTGGGAGAGCCATGCCCCGGCACATTTGGGCCAGGCTCGACCGGAGTGTTACCCCACAGAAAACTAGTGATAAGCAGTCGACTGCACGGTTGACGTAATGGTTTAAGCGGTCGCCACGCCGCTTCCTACTGCGCTGAGTGTTGTGGGTCCCATCACCACATTGAACAACACTTTGATCCACAGACTATTGTCCTGAGTCTGGGTGTTCCTTGTGTCCGAGTCATGTATGTTTGTAAAGTTTACCGCGACGCAATATATTTTTAGTGCGGGGGTTGTTTTTTTTTTAAAAAAGGGGTGGCTTCACCAAATAAATGACAAATTTAATCACAATATATGTAATCAGTTTAACAAATAAGTATCACTTAATTATATTCTCCCGTGGTCCTATCCGTACACACCATTTATCCCGAATACAACCAAAGGAAGGTCAGAAATGGAATTAATTGATCAAAAACTAATTTTACTGCTAGATGAGCTGCATCTCATCTCGTATAAATATATCTACCATACATAAATCTCGTTTACATCAAAGTACCTGATAACACACTGTCTTTGACAAAGATAAATCTACTGTTATCGCTGATTACTGATACGATACCATTAGACTACCATTATAAGTACACTAGATAAGTAATATGCCCGTCAAAATGTTCGAAAGAACCAGTGAGAATTAAGCTATTTTATTAATACTCGTAGCCATAATTAACAGTGGTCTGTAGCTGCAGCTATACTAAATAAGTTAGTCGGCGTTAATTTTACATTTTGCTTAAATATTGTGCAACTGATAGTTAGCTTCACGTGGAAATACCATGAAGCAGATAATCGCTGGTTTGGTTCTTTATATTGTCAAACGTCAAATACACCACCGATGGAGTAGTTTTGTCAGATTCGAATCGACTTAAAATCCGCTCGTGAATAAATATTTTCTGTTACCCCGACGGAACCCAGGCCATCTACGGCTTACAGATGGCGCTTTCGTGTATGTGGTCCCGCACGGTGTCCCCTTCCTGCCTCTCCTTTAGAGGCGCGTCGCGAAACCACCATGGCCTGCTTCTGCTAGGGTGACTCACTTTTCAATCCCAGGCCTGCGCTTATGGAGGACGGAGGTCGTTGAGCGAGTAAATATATACCCTTCTTGGCACGATTTACTCAGGGCGCTAGATAGAAGTCGGCACCTTACTGCCACCGGGTAATCAGTAACTATAAAAACGAATCCCAAACAACTTTATTGAGAAATGATTAATTTTATGATAAAACACATATGAATATGTCAAACAGAAATAAATATTATGTCTCTATTTCAGTTTACTGCCAAAGGCCATAAATGGTGGCATCGCGGGAATTGTAGGCGTGTCAGTTGTGTTTCCGCTTGACTTGGTAAAGACCAGATTACAGAACCAAGTAGCTGGTCCAAATGGCGAAAAGATGTATTCAAGCATGTTTGTATCTACTTTCTTTATAATATTTTTCAAATTGTATAACAGAAGCACTACAATGGAAACATCATTTGTTAAAAAAAAAACATAGCTTTTTGTTGTCTTAGACACCAAAAATGCATTATATACTTAATCTGAAGGGCGCAGCAGGTGGCCATAGGCCCTCACAACAACAACAACATTTTAAATTGAACTAGCGATCCGCCCCGGCATTGAACTGGTGCCATGTAGATACTTCTAATACTACTAATGTGGTGTCAGTGTAGAATAATTAATTATACGATTATTATGAAATAATTTATATTACAGGACATCTTAAAATACAATATTTATAGGCCCGCTGTGATCCTGGCGGCTGCTGCCACTCGGGACTGACGTAGGGCCCAATGCGGCGACGGCCGCTTCACCCCCACATTTTAAACCTCTGATATCTTCTTAAATATTCATTTTAATGATATGCTGGAAGAAGCAATTTTAATCTACATTCAATGTGCAACGTATCTAACGTATTTAATTGGATAAGAAATAATAATGTATTGTCTAAAATGGCTTCATAAATAACCCATTATTACACACGTTCTAGTATTTACTTGTTACGGACTTTTTTTATATTTTTGAAATCCTGTAGACGCTTCCCCTACTGCTGAAAGTGAAAACATTATACCTATAACTTTTATTCATTCTATCATCTTATCTTTCAAATGCAATAGGTCCTCACGACGCTCGAGTAAATCTTCATTTAGCATCATGAGCTACCCTACTATTAAGATTCTTTTGTGTAATGATTAACTCGTAAGCAATTATCTTGCCTGTTAACGATTTGACAAAGTACTTGCAATTCTTGTAGGCTTAAATAACACATAAAAGTTATTTCAACCATAGTAGCCAATTCCTTGATACCTTGATAAATTTTAAGCAACGAATTGAAACATCAAATAACAACCTATTCAACATGTTAAATAAAAACACATAAACATCTGTTTCTAAGGTTGGACTGCTTCAAGAAGACATATGCGGCAGAGGGCTACTTTGGAATGTACCGAGGTTCTGCTGTCAACATTGTGCTTGTGTCACCGGAGAAGGCTATTAAACTAAGTGCCAACGACATGTTTCGATTCTATTTGACACTGCCAGACGGGTATGCGATGCCGCTACTTTTATCTAATAACAGACCAATGACATTAAAGCACTATAGACGTCATAGCAACAATAGAAAATATTATGTGTGTTGAACGTAGTTGGCTATGATGTGGGTGATTAGTTATAAATCAAAGAATAAATATAAGTAAAACCAAAGTATAAATACCATCATTATATCAAGCCTATCTTGAAAAAATAAAATATATACGGTCGCGGTCATAATTCCAGTAGAACTTTTACGAAGCTATAGCATTATAACTAGTTTGACTGACGTCTTACGTCCCCTATTAACGTATATCACACACACACATAAACAGGCTACATGCGTATGATTATAGTAACTATAGTTCATCTAATCTAAGAGGTACCGTTTGACGTTTCATACTTTTCAAGACGAAATAACTTTGTATAGGCGTTCACACAATTTCAATAGCCTTTTCCGTAAAACCGTGGTATTATAAAGCTATTTCTATTTAACACAAAATGTACCATTCTTAATCACTAAATTTAAATCTTTGAATAAAAGCAAAATAACCGATATATACACAACAGATGTTTTTTTTTTTCAGACTTTGCAAGACACGTAGTTAGGTCCTTTGCCGTAGTGTTGCGGCTCTTCAAGTTCACTTGTATACGAATAATCGAGTCATTTTCAATCTAGGCCAAGGCTTCAAGTATCTGACATCCAACTATTAACTAAAACGCTTAATTAAAATAAAAAGTAATTGAGTTAATTTAATTTTAAATAAAACTTTGTAGGCCAAATCGCTTGTGTCCAGGTTACTAAGATTTACTAGTAAAACCTATGATACGCCACTACACGGGCTTTCAAAAGAACATACATATTTAGGTGCAAACCACGCTAAAACCCTTAGATCTTTAAACATCCTACGGCATTAAGTCCACCTTAAATAAATAAAAATAAATAGTGATCCCCCCGCCCCTCCCTACTCGGCAGCAACATGTCTCAAGCGACAAGAGCGGGGAATGAACCGCCGTAGACCCGACGACTGCTACGGAGCCGTCCCAGTCACCCAACCAGTTTGAACGGGGAGGACCATAATAGGGCTCCTCGGCTACGGCCACACCGATCGACCACTGTGCCATGGTTTGTAGGAGGAGATCCTGCGCCGCGGCACAGTGGTTCAGGTTCGTCTCGACAAGTAGGTTCGAGACTTGATCCATTATCGGATCGTCTCTACAACCTCCTCCATGGGCGACGGTAACGATGCACGAACGACGCCGGAGGCAGCCTGGGTGGATTGGCTAGCCCCCGACATTTGCTGAGAATCGCGGGAAGGTTACAAACCCGCCAATCGCCAGATTGGGCAGGGGGCTGCACCCCTGCCGAGAATTGCGGGGAGGCTTGCAGCCTCTCTGCCCAATCTGGTTATTGGCTGGCTTGTTACCCGTCGCATATGTCGGGTAGTGATGGGCAGCAGAGCATCCTGCCGCCTTTTGCCCCGGTCGACCGCAGTGGAAACATAGTCCGTTGCAGTCAAAACAACTTACACACTTGACGCGTGTGGGTCCCGATGCCAAGCATTTACACCACATCGGTCTCACCGCCAGGACTGTGATCCTAGCGTTCACGAAACCGATGAACAGCGCCAAGCCCTCCTGGACCGGGGCGGATGGTGCCGACCCTGATGTTACAGAGCCGTCCAGGCCGGATATGAGCAGCTCTGCGCACTTGGTAGGCCTGGCGATCTTGACACCATCCGTAGCTGCGAAAATCCGCTGTCTTTGCGCCTTCAGCTCCAGGGAACTCAAAAACTCGAGCTCCTGTCTGGTCGATGCGCATCCTACCCTTACCATCCCGAATTCATTGGCGAGACAGTTATACAGAAATCGAAGATGATATTAATAGAAGCCTTAATTCAATAGTTACTTGGTTAAATAAAAATAATCTCAAAATTAATTTTAATAAAACTAAAATCATGAACTTTAGACTTAGAAATACAAATCAATCACAATTTTCAATCAAATATAAGGGAGAATCAATAGATGAAACGAGTACAACAAAGTTTTTAGGGCTATACATCGACAATGACATGACATGGAGAACACAAATTGAGAATGTATGTATGAAACTGTCTCAATTCTCATACGCATTATATATGCTCCAAAAAATTGCGAACAAGACCGCACTAATAACAGCCTACCATGGCTATGTCGCCTCCACTTTGAGATATGGCATTATATTTTGGGGAAACGCGACCCACGTATCAGATGTATTACTGGCACAAAAAAAATGTATTCGTGCTATTTGTAAATTAAAACCGACAGATACTTGTAAACCACATTTCAAGAATTTAAAAATTTTAACTGTACCATCGCTTTACATTTATGAGGTCGTTATATTTGTAAGATTGAACTTTAAATTATTTGACTCTGTGGAAAGTCGACGTCGCTTAAATAAGTTGCACTTGTTGCCCACTAAAACTTCCTTCGCCCACAAAAGTATATATGCAATGGCACCGAAATTGTATAATAGATTGCCAAACCAAATTGTATTGAGCACAAATATTAATGAATTTAAATGTAATTTTTTAACAATAAAGCATATTATTCCATAAACGAATATTTAAATGACCAATTTTAATACTATTGACATTAATTGAATATTTTTACTATAAATTTTAATTATCTTTTATTATTTTTACTTAATTTGACCTGAACTGATGATGACTTTAATTTATATACACTTATATGGATTGATGACTTTGTTTATGTAAAATGATGATGCTTTATTTAAACAATACTCTTAGAATATTTAAGGAATGTACCTAATTTCAATGACGTATTATAATATTGCTTTGTTTATATATCATTGCCTAATATTTTGTATGCCTTTCGGCGGGACATAGCTTGTACATAATAAAATTGACATCTTAACCACCTATGTATCACAAAATTGAATAAATAAATGAAAAATGAATGAAAATGAAAAATGAGACTGTCCCGGGTCTTCTTGGAGTGTTCTGCCTTCGATGCGACCGTAGGTGTAGACACCGATACCGCCACCGCCGCTGAAGGCGAGCCACGTTCCCATGATGGTCTCTTGCCCCTACAGTAATGTACAAAACGTAACTCTCTCTCTTTCTATCTTTACTAACTTATATCTCCCTTTTCGTAACGCTTTCGTCACACATTCACCAGCTTACTCCCCAAGTCAAGCGTGTGTAAAGATGTTTTACTTCAAAACTTCAAAAGACACTGAGGACGGAACTGTCAGAATTCGCTAGTGGTACTATTTTGCCACTAGTTCTAATGATTATTAAGATGAATATTAGCATCACTTTCAAATAAGTGCTACCGAGAGTTCAATATAAAGAAAATCTATAAGTAGGTTTGATTTATCTAGTGTTGTACACACACGCATGATACCAATCAACAACAACTTTCGTATAAGCTGAAAAATTTATATATACGAGGGCGGGTCAATAAGTCCGTGACTTTTTGAATTTCTGACCTCTTTACTGAAAAAGCAACACTACTCCTGTCAACAGGCATCTGTCAGTTGACTCCTGTCAAAATTTGAACTTGCTGCGTCAGTTAGTTTGTGTTTGACAGCTTTCTTTATCAGACTACCCAGTAATTTAAGGAAAAAATTGAAAAAAAGTGAATTTCGTGTGCTTATTAGGCATTATTTTTTGCGAAAAAAAACCATTACCGAGACCAAGGCTAAGCTTGATAAATACTATGGGAACTCTGCACCATCGATTTCAATGGTAAAAAAGTGGTTTACTGAATTTCGTTGTGGCCGTACAAGCACTGAAGATGCCGAACGTCCTGGACGCCCAGTTGAGGTCTCTTCCCCCGAAACAATCCAAAAAATTCACGATATGGTGTTGGCCGACCGAAGATTGAAAGTGCAAGAGAAGGAAGCCGTAGGGATCTCGCATGGCTCAGTGGTTTCAATTTTGAATGATCACTTGGGCATGAGAAAGCTTTCCGCAAGATGGGTGCCGCGATTGCTCACAGTCGACCACAAACGCAATCTTGTAACAACTTAATCGCAATATGGAGGAGTTTTTGCGCCGTTTTGTAACCGTGGACAAAACATGGATCCATCACAACACACCAGAGACCAAACAACAGTCAAAACAGTGGGTTTCTGAGGGTGAATCGGCGCCAAAGAAGGCCAAGGTGGGTTTGTCAGCCAATAAAGTTATGGCGACTGTCTTTTGGGATGCACGCGGGATAATCCACATTGACTACCTTCAAAAGAGAAGAACAATCAATGGGGAATATTATGCCAACTTATTGGACCGATTCAATGACGATTTGAAAAAAAACCGACCTCATTTGGCCAAGAAAAAAGTTCTTTTCCACCAAGACAATGCAAGGGTGCACACATGTGCAGTTGCCATGGCAAAAATCCATGAATTGGGCTATGAATTGCTCCCTCATCCGCCCTATTCTCCAGATTTGGCTCCGAGTGACTATTTCTTGTTCCCAAACCTGAAGAAATGGCTTGGTGGCAAAAGATTTGACTCCAATGATGAAGTGAAGTCATCTCGCAAACAAAGGCCTATTTTGAGGACCTCGACAAATCATATTTTTTGGAAGGGATAAAAAAATTGGAGAAGCGTTGGACAAAGTGTATAGAGCTCAAGGGAGACTACGTTGAAAAATAAAATGATTTATTTATCAAAAAATCTGTGTTTTATTCCAAAAGTCACGGACTTATTGACCCGCCCTCGTATATATACAATACTGATATTGTCTGATAATAATGTATGTGTGCATTAAAACATCTCACATGCAGAGAAAGGCACAGAACAAACCGGCGCGAGCGAATATAAACATTACGACGGCACTGTAATTATGACCCTTGACTGCACATAAATGTATACATGTAATATTTATTAATGTATGTATTTATTTATGTTAAGGTCTCTACCAATTGTTCGTCAGATGTTAGCCGGTGGTTTAGCAGGTGCATTACAGACCGTTATCACTACACCCATGGAGTTGCTCAAGATTCAAATGCAGGATCAAGGGAGAATCACCGCTCAGGCTAAAACTGGTATGACTCTACTAACGTGTTAACCTTAGTTCTATTTGATTACCACGGTAAGAGACAGCGTATCTAATACTGAATTCTAACTGAGAATATTAAAAACATATGTGTTATATAAAATGAATTACTAGATTTTAAAATGCAAATTAAAAACCAAAAAGGATCCGGCAGTTCCCATTTGTTCCATTTAACATGACGTCACATGACAAATACATAAGACATTTTTTCGTACTATGTCATGGAAGATTTTGACTTAATTTATTTCCAGATTCCCAGTTTGTTCTGTAGCGGTAGGCTCGGGTAAAGTTTTAGAATGTAATTCTATGGAATAAAAAAAGGAAGAAATTGTGTTATTTTGTCCTATAAACGTCATGTTCCATAAATCAAATCCGATAGTAGTTATCCTTTGTCATAAAGGAATCCAGAATGCAATAGGCTTACTTTAAAAAAGCTCACTAAAATCACAGGTGGAGCGCCAGTTAAGAAATTGACAGCTGTGGATCTGACTAAGAATCTAATAGCCGAAAGGGGCATTTTTGGATTGTACAAAGGTGTCTTGGCATGTATTGTACGTGAAGTCCCGTTCGGTATTATTTACTTCCCAATGTTCGCTACACTCGCAGACCTTGGTGTCCAAGAGAATGAAGGACAAGCACCGTTATGGTAATTAAACAACCAATGCAATATATATTATTTTTTGTATGTATGTATGTGTATGTTGTATGTTATGTGTGTATTTAGTAATGATATAGTGGAATGAAATGCCTTCTAACGACTGCCGAGACTTTATTACTAATACACCTGAATACATTCAATCAATACTTAATAATATGCCGACCGGAATGTTCGCCAAGGTCTCTGGGTTACTCTTCTATGACTTTGATTTTCGCACTGTAGCTATGTGTGATGTACTCGTATGGTTGTTGGCCTCAGATGGCCTCGACAACCTCGCACGTGCTTTCTTTGAGCGCTGAGGGCTCGCAACCGGTCTTAATTAAGGGCACTCCCTGTGGGGTACGAACCTCGGCTTAAGGCGTTACTGGCAAACTAGTGCGAGCAAGATCAAAGAGCAAGATTGTGAGCTGTGTACACTCGCTGCTGAGCGAGTATGATTGTGTTGTCTAGCTCTCCTAGAGCATGTTTAGGTCTACGTATACATTCGCAATATGCAGCCAAACCAGTGCAGCTTCTCGACTGTAGATCATTTTCCAGAACCACTGCGTGTATCTGCCGCATTTTTTCCCATAAATCGTAAAAGTGTCGTTTAGTACAATAGCTGCACTTGAATAATCTCAGGTGGATGTTCGTGTCGGGTTGCAGCGCCGGTTCCACAGCAGCGTGGTGTGTTACCCCGTTTGACGTAGTTAAGACTCGCATGCAAACTCTCACCAAAGGCACCGGAGAAGTTCATCACAATTCCATGTTAGAATGTCTCACGTAAGTTGACACTCCATTTTATTGGCATGGGTCACTTGATGGTAAGTGACTACCGCCGCCCATGGACACCTGCAATTCAAGAGTCACAAGCGCCGCCTTTTAAGCCCCATTTGATCGAGGAGGAGGTTACACCGGTTTTTGGGAGGCTGAGGTATTACTCCGGTCGAGCCTGCTCTATTGTGTAAAGCTCTTCCACGATTGATCCTACCTTTATCGTACTAACTGACACCTACGGCTTCGTCTACTTAGAATTAGTATTGCGGGTAGTCTATTTCTCGTCAAAGTTATTTATCCATATTAATTGTAGTATACACAATTATTTTCGAGATTGTTACAAATAGAGAATATTATCTACATATAAAAGTAAAAAGATTTGTTAATATGAAATAAAGGAATCTAGATTTTCGACCTATTATGCGTTTGGTACATCAGATATTTGTGGTGTGGAAATCTCCATGGGACATCATCTCAAAGGGATGATATTTAGGACCCGAACTCGATTGTTAACCGTGGGAGAGCAATACTGCGTGCCCGTAACTCTGGGAGGCCAGGGTAAACTCTTGAATTGCACTTATAACTTTTATTTTATTTATGAGTGTTTTTATTCGCAACGTCTGCTGGGCGCTCGCCCACGTCGCACTACTTACCTACTTATTCTCAAATATGTAGTTCTAACTATGTCCTGCATTATGAGTCTGCTTTAATCGTTAGTAAAAAACGACTTTAATAATAAATGACAGCCTATACATAAAGATGTTTAGACTCACAGCAGATATTTGTTCATTGCAACCCAAACGCAAAAATTAACTTAACGGTAAATGCTGTTCCTGTGTGTGTGCTTGCTCTTCTTAAGCCGATCATAGGTCGAATAAATATAAGAATCTTTGCTAAACATTATTGGTGATTATTATCATTATTCGTGGTAATTCTACCATTATTTCATAGATATCACAACATCTCTGCTCAACATTGTTATAACTTACAAAAATTGAATAATATTCCATGTTTGCCAACAGGTCAATATGGAAGAATGAGGGTATTACAGCACTGTTCAAGGGAGGTGCATGCCGTATGATGGTTATTGCTCCACTGTTGGGCATAGCGCAAAGTGTTTACTACTTAGGCGTCGCCGAAACCTTATTCGATCTGTAAACTTCTTTAACGGAACACACTTTTTGTTATTATGCTACTTCTAACTGGAGGGTCGTGACTGTTGCTTGAATTATTAAGATTCTACAATGCTGATGTTTGTGAAGTTTTCGTCTAAAAATTAGGTCAACTACTGTCCGTCTGTTCCGAAAGGTACCGTGGCGACCTTCGTGGCGGCCGTCAGAGTGGGAATTCTCTCGTTCGCCCGAGAACGGGCCAGGAACCGCAGACGACTCAAGCACCGGAGGAAGCAGAATGAAATTGGAAAGTTGTTTATTATGGACAAACTAATTAATATTAAAGGTTCTTTGTAGACTGCACGGATGGCGTAGTGGTTTAAGCGGTCGCCACGCCGCTTCCTATTACGCCGAGTGTTGTGGGTTCAAACCCCACATGGGACAACACTTTGTGTGATCCACAAATTGTTGTTCTGAGTCTGGGTGTACTTTGTGTCCGTTTCATGTATGTTTGTAAAGTCCCCCGCGACATAGGATTTATTCCTAGTGCGGGAGTTGTCTTTTTAAACATTGACATTAAACATTAAATTATAGAGTACTAGCGGACCCGACAGACGTTGTCCTGTCAAATTTGACACTGCGATGGTAGCGCCGTCTGTCGGATCCAATGTAAAACATTCCAAAATCAACAACTACTAATAAATTAAAAATTAATTAAAAAAACATTGTCCAGCGGACAAAATTGTGAATCTAAACCATTCCCAGATCCCCTTGAACACACACAAAAATTTCATCAAAATCGGTCCAGTCGTTTGAGAGAAGTTCAGTGACATACACACTCACAGAAGAATTATATATATAAAGATAAGATGGGTCAGAACCTTTTAATAACAAATTTAAGCTATGAAGTAGCTGACATAATTAGATCTATCGATAAAAGCAGTAGATTTTTTTTATTTAAGGAAGTTTATCAAATATGATAATGCCACATAAGATCTTTAGATTAAATAATTTATCTAGTATGTTTCTCTTTTACCTCCTACCTATGTCAAAATTTTTATACATATGCACGTGATGCAGATGGTGGTGATCCGCCAAATCTAGCTCTATAATTAGCAAAGTTTTTTATGCTTAATGAGAACACTACGTGAGGGATAATAAAAAGTAAACAATATTAATAGAACAATTATTTTATTACTGAAATAGCGTAATAAGCATCTTACAACTATCGTTCATAATAATGGAGATTTAAGTCAACTGTACCTCCATGTCACTACAACTATAATTATTATTCATGTAAGTACCAGAAAATTTAAGCTCATTTAATGTTACATAGTTCTAAAATATTAAGTATATTACTTAAATATATTCTAAAAACATCTAAGAAAAAATTTAAGCTGAATCGTGAAAGTGTCAATTTTAGCTCTTATGACCAGGCCCATGCTCCGTTGGAAGGCACCCATGACGACACCCAAGGTTGCGTTGGCCAGTCGGGTGTTTGTGGGCGTAGGGCTGCCGCTGCAGCAGTGGCCGCGTGTTGTGCTTCACCAGCTGCACCGGCAGCACCTGAACTCTGAATCACTGACAATTTCAGGGCTTCTATGTCTGTAACAATACAGTGACTAATTAATAATTACTAAATAAGACAATAATAATACTAGATAAATTAAATAAATGTTTAAATGAAACAAAAGGCAACTATTTTACAAAACTAAAAATTTACTCGGTTGTGATACAAGTCTCATTCAGTCATAACATCTTATTTATAGAAATTAGTTCAAAGGCCAAACCATTGAACAAATTTAAACAAATAAAGTGTGTGAAGTACAGCCTGGCAAACAAAGTCATAGTTAAATATGAACTCGTACATTATGTGTGTGCTCTTGCTAGGGTAATAAAAGTTTGCAGTGGCGCTATTTGGCCACATTAATTGGTTTTATCTAGTTTTTAAAGCACTGAAAGAAACAAAAGAGAATGAAATTGTAATTCATACCAGCATTTTGTAACCTAGCCGCTTGGTTGCTGGCAGCTCGTTGTATAGCTTTAGCAGCAGCCGCTTCTCTTGCTGCTGCAATCTTTTGAGCAACAGCGGCACGTGCTTTCGCAGCTGCGAGCTGTGCCTGTGCTTGTACGGCACTCTGTGCGGCTGCCAGAGCGTGAGCGCGAGCATTACTTGCAGCTTCCTCACTGGATATTCACGTGAACAAAATCCTAATCTTAAATTTTACTAAGAAATAAGTTATGGCCCTGATTTACTAAAAAAAAAAGGATTAACTCAATTAAATCTATACAAATAAATAAAATTGGAGTGTCTGTTTGTAATATTAAAATAACCGCTTTTTAATAAATGCATATGTATTTTTACACGGTACATATGCCAAGATAACATTTTTTACAATTTTTGTCTGTCTGTCTGTCTGTTTGTTCCGGGTAATCTCTGGAACGGCTGGACCGATTACGACGGGACTTTCACTGGCAGATAGCTGATGACATAAGGAGTAACTTAGGCTACTTTTTAAGACTAGCTTCGCCCCGCGGCGTTGCCCGCGGTTATAACAACAAACGCGGGTAACACCGCGGGTCTCAGCTAGTCGTTTACTAAAAACAAAGCAGAAATACATAAAAATGCTTTTGCCCACGGCTTTACTTGCGTAAAGTTTAAATAAAATTGTACGCCCGGGCAAAATATTGAGTCATTTTCATCCATAAAAAGTACTGTTTCTGAGGGTAATATACATATTTACCTATCTGCCTCCTACGTACCTGCCTATGTATATATGTAATCTACTTTGCTTTTGCTTGCTTTTTAAAGATGAAAATGACCCTATATCCTATCTGTACCCGTGTAACATTTTATAATAATTGGTTAAATAAACTCGCATTCACATTATAACAGTTGGATAGCTTTAATAAGTTGGAAGTGTAATAGTTTCGAAATACGTGATACTAGGGAACGTTATAATTATATACCTTTTGTGCGCAGCGCGTGCTGCAGCCGCTTCCTTGGCGCTAGCAACACTTTGTTGTTCCAGAGCGGCGTGTTTCGCCGCGGCTACTTCGTGCTGAGCTGCCATTACGGCCCCCGCAGCTGCCTTTGCCGCAGCTACTGCACCCGCTACATCTGAACTTGTATCTGTTGACCAAGCAACGTAGAAGAATACTTATCCTTATTTCAGTTTTAAACGGTGGCATCGTACCTTATTCAAATATGAATATCAGTTCTTTTAGAGGAGTTTGTATCTACATAAGTACTAAGACGCAATGTATTTTCAATTAAAATTTCGAACCCTTGAGCTAAGAAATCCTTGAACAAAAAGTACCTTTAAACAAATCAATGAAGTTTTGGTCTCCTATACCACGCTTGCCAGGCGGTGGTATAGGGTTTAGGGTGGAACATGTTATGTATGAATTAAAAATACTATACCATGTCCTTGTGGTGTCTGAATCCAAGCAGCGACTCTAGGCCAGTTGACCGCTTCCAAACTGACGCTTCTTTTGTCCGGTTGGGTATTGGTACTTGAGGTGGCCGCTAAAAGGAACATCGCTGCTAATACCTGGTTTACAAAAAGAATACCTAAATATTTATTTCATTTTAAGCCTAGCAAATTCGTTATGTACATTGCTAAACATCTATAAATAGCTTAGTAAAAACTAGTACTAAAAGCGGTCTGCGCGATCACTCCAAATACTAATGTGTACACTAGTGTAATAAATACGAAAATAACTCTTTGCCTACTTTTAAACTCAAAAAGTTTATAGTTACTTTGTATTTTTTTACTTCTTATATAATATTTTTGATATGATCACAACGATATCCTTGATAAGAAAATCTTGTATCACTGATAATCCTGCTACAAATCAAGTTAAATGTTTTCGTAGAAATCTGGAAAATAGCCACTTTACATTAATGAAAAAAAGAATGAAAATTCATGAAAAGTAGCACTCAAATTGTAATGTAGGTCTAAGTGTAGAAAAACAGTTATGCTATTTTTGTGTTTATTGTTTTTTGTGTTTAGAAAGCGGTAAGTTTTACAAGAAAGATATTAAATTTTAAAATAATTGTAAGAATTTAATTCTAATATAAAGCAACTATACTTAGTTTCTTCAGTAAAAATCGTATGTTGTTTTAGATGTTAGGGATGAATAAAAGTTTTGTATCAATAGAAATAAAGATTAGCGACTTTAAAGAAATATAAAACACAAAGGACCAAAGAAATTTCGTTTTTTTGGCAAGATTATTATTATGAAACTTATCAGTAAATTATATAACAATATTTTATGAAAATATGAATTAATTAATTTTATATAGTACAAAACTTACCACGACGTTGAAATTCATATTGTATGTTGTTTGTTTTGTGTGTTCAAAAATACTGTGATGAATAACTGGAGGAACTGAACCATTATATACGATCTTTTGCGGCAAGTGATATAGAAAGGGAATTAAAGGTAGCCGTACCTAAAAGCTATCAGAACCTATCACTTAATAGCTCTTCTTTCACTTTCTTGGAACCATACAAATGCGCTGATTAGATACGTACCTTACTTTGTTACGGGGTTTAAGAATTTTAAACAGGCTTTTGTTTGTAAAGACTACTGTTTGTAAAAGTACTTGATGGTTAAAAAAGTGAAGTAATAATGTGTTCTATCCGTAAAGCTCCCTTTGCCGTACATTGCCTTCGATTCTTACCTACCATTTCCCTAAAATATACTCAAAATTTCTCAAATCAATAATTTCCAATGACCAGTAGATAGGCGTGAGTAGCATTCCAACGGCTAGACTATTATGTTTTTTTTTTTGTTTTGGGGTTTGGGTTGTCCAAATACTTCCATTCTCATGAGGTCCTTACAATCGTCGAATCCTTACAGTCCTTACCTCGAAGAATAAGACCCCAATAATTGCCTGTTTTCTGGACTTATCGAAGGCATTCCGCATTCAAAGAAAGTGAAATGGGAGGGAACATATTCTGATGTATATTGGTTAAAGTGTGGGGTAAGGAGTAAGACAGGGTGGGTTGAGTTCACATCGTTTATTCAACATGTACAAATTAATAGGGGAGCTTAATAGCACCAGAACAGGATGTCATGTAGATGGTGTTTGTGTAAGCAATATGTGCTACGCTGATAATATGGTGCTGCTGAGCCCGTCTATTGCCGCGATGAGGAAGCTCCTTAAAAAATGCGAAGGTTATACGGTGGCGCATGGGCACAAATACAATACCAATAAGAGTGAATGGGTTTTCAAGGCCTTGCCAACAGCTTCCAGAACTCTCACTCTTCGGATCTCCTCTAGATCGGGTTCAGACATTTAAGTACTTGGGCCACATCGATGACTTAAAAGATAATGTGGATATCGATTGGGAACGCAGGTCGTTGGCTATCCGCGGCAATATGATATATTTAAAATTATCCTGTTTAGAGCCTTCTGATAATCATTTTACACCTGCAGCCTGTAGACTAAGTTTACCAGGACGTCTTGCAACGACATGCGTATCCAATATAATAATGCATTCACGGTGCTTTTGGGGTTGACGTGGCGGTGTAGCTCGTCAGTCATGTTCGCGGAGGCCCAGGTCGACGGGTTCACCGCATTAACGTGACAACGTTGCGCCTCCATACTGACGCGTTTGCGCTTCTCCTCCAAGAACATCCCGACTGATTTTTCAGATAGGTGGGACTCCTCCCTTATTCAGAGGTCGATTTTTATTCACGCATAAAAATAAATGTAATTAGTGTGTTAATAGTTTTATTTAATATACTAAGACACTGTTACTAACAGTTTATGCATGGATTTTGTCCGATATAAATAATTTGAATTTAAAAATTATAAATCTATCAATTTAACAAAATAGCTTCAATCGATTACAGTCTATACATTGATCGGTTTAGCCAGTTATGTAACTGCACGGCGCGGCACGACGTATCAAAATATTCTTTTGGTCATTTTGTATCATCAACAGCTTTTAATAGTCCACTGCATGACATAGACCTCTCCTTAGAAAAGAGGTTTTGGACTACTGTACCACGCTGGCCAAACGGGTTCGTATAGGGTTTGTGTCAAGTTTTCCTTCTTTGTGAGGTGCTGGTGTCCTGCGTTGTTTTGCGCCCTTAGTCGGCTCTTACGACACCCACGGGATGAATTGGGTAGTGACATTTGGTATAATAATATTATTTATTTATTTCGGATCACCAACAAGGAATACACCTTACATGCTATAATGATATTAGGTTTACAAAGTTCAAGTTAGTGTGCTTCGTTAATAACAGGCGACCACATCATGCAAAAAATTATACAAATTAAATTATTTTTTTCTTTGTTTGTTAGGAAACAAGATTTATTTTTATATTAACATTTACGCAAGATGGCTGGCAGGAGCTGGATGCGAGAAGCCCAAAATCGATCTAACCTATACAAGAGAAGAATTCAAAATCAAAAACCAAACACTTAAAAACTAAATTATAAATTATGCTAATAATAAAACGGTGCTGCATTAGGCGTCGGCGCCTGGAGGTCTTAAATTGCAGTAAGACCATTAAGTTTATATTGAGGGTTTGCACTTATTTTAGTTCTTCACTTAGATTTGTGATTATTTTTAATGTTTAGTACTGTTTGTTAGTATTGTTTGAAGTCAGTTCAACTTTTTTTCAAAGGATTTGTTTTACAATTTTTTGTGTAAGATATGTTTGTAATGAGTAGATAATTACGATATTTAAAACATTACATACTTTACATGTATGTAACCGAACTGTACTATATTAGAATACATTAAATTTAGTTTAATAAGTTCGTTATTTTATTTAGATATGGTAATAAGATGTTACATTTGAACCCGAAAATATTTTGTTTTCTACATTACTTAATTTGCCACCACTATGAGGGCATTTTTCTTAATATTTAAATGTAACTAAAGGAAAAATATACCGTTGGAGGAACGGGTGTCATGTCCAACACAAAGGGAGGAACCTCAGACCAGGCGAGGTGATCATGCTATGCATGCCGCGGCCCTAATCGGCGAGTGAATTGATCAGAGAGTGAAACAGTGTTGAGGTAACAAACCTGAAAATAATTGCGTAACAATTTTTTTTTTGTGTGTGTTAATTTGAGGGCTTCCCTCGATTACTCTAGGATCCTATCATCAGATTCTCGTTTTGTGGTAATTGGAACACCTCGGGAGTATACCCTTTCGATTGTCTAAATTTCGAATTTCGGAAATCGGTACACATTTAACAAACATACAAACAAGTGAAATACAAACGGTCAACATAAACTCAAGTGGGCTGTTTATAAATTACATTGATAAGAAATATTCTGCGTATCAACTTTTTTGGTTTCGGTTCTATTTTTTCAAATTTATATAGCAGCACCACAGAAATTATACTGGTTATCTTATTATTACGATTTCTATGGGCAGCACCATTGAGCTAAAAAGTCAATAAGTAAAAAAAGTATTTCGGGTAATTATTAAAACTTTTAATAATTACCCCAAATACTTTTGTTACCCCTAGGCAGCCCATGAGTAATTTGTTTCAAGAATACTAAAGAAGAATAAAAAATAAAATTAAGAAAGAAACTTGCTAAGAGATATAAATGATCATTAACAATATTATGCTATAGGATGTAAGGGGTTTGATAATAAGTATAGCGTGCTAAGAGTTTTTTAGCTCAGCGCAGTTCTAATGAACCGTTTGCATAAATAGCTTTGATTTAATTGTGATGATTCTGTATAACTAAAGTAAAGTAAAGAAAAGTAAAGTTTATTGTCTTAAATAGTTACAAAGTTATCACTAATATCCAACATGACATAATCTAAGTACATGTAGCCGCATAGCCGTAAAGGTTACAGTCAGGTTAAGGATAATCCCTAACAGATTTTATTTTGATGAGTCCTCTAACTAGGTATACCTATTTCAATGTGGAAAATAAAAGTAAGAAAACCAACATGAGGTGTAGGAGTGTGCGTGTTTGACTGTTGTGTTTTAGGAGTGTGTTGTGTTGATTGTGAATGTGTGTACTTGTGTTTTTTTTTATGTATTCGTGACCTGTAATAGCATATGTATATGACTTAGAAGCATATGGACCATATGGAATTTTTGGAAACTTGCAGACTAGGTGAGTTACGGGATAGTAATTTAGCTTAGTATAAATATTAGAGTTCTGATTGCAGTAGTTTTAATTAATTTTATTGTAGAGGTAACAACCAATTACTGAGTTTAGTTTTGTGTGTAACTAAGGGACACACCTTATCTGATCGGCGTTTAGTGGTATATATGCTTGGGTCATATGGTAACTTTGTGTGCTTTTTAAATATTACTTGATGAATAAATATTTGACGGACCGTGACGACTCCAAGATCCGAGTATAGTTGATGTGTGGGGTATCGAAATGGCTTCCTGGATATCACCTTCAACACGGCCCTTTGAGCCCTTTCTATCGGCAAAATGGTAGTTTTAGCTGCTCCTCCCCATGTTGTAATGGAGCATGATAAAATTGATTGCACTAAAGCATAGTAGGTTAATGTGAAAGTTTTAATATCCGCTGCATTACGGAGGAGTTCAAAAATGTATATAAGTTTCCTGATGCTTTTCTAACCTCTCCATGTGGTGCTTCCATTTCAGGAATTGATCGACATAGATACCGAGATATTTGACATATGAAACTCTAGATCTCAATTTGCAGTGATAGCCAGAGGATAACTCCATACAAAAATGAGCTTTTAGAATGTAGTTATTTGATGATGGAATCATACATGTGTTATGGGCGAAGGTTATGTAGCAGGTTTTGTCAAGATTTAAAGTTAGTAAATTGAGGGATAGCCAGGACATTGCTCTTGTAATGGCAGCTTCAGTATGAATCTTTACCTCATCAAAGCTCGACCCATTAATGAGGAGTACGGTATCGTCTGCGTATGCAAAGACTCTGCAGTTAGGTAAGGATAACTCACACAGATCATTTACGTAGATCGTGAACAAGGTGGGGCTCAGAGTTCTTCCCAGTGGCTTAGACGCTCCTCCTCACTAATGCAATTATCAATTTTAACTGTCTGAATTCTATTGCACAGGTAATCAGTCAACAGTTTCAGCAATGTTCCCATTACTCCTGTCTTTTCCAACTTTGATACAGGAATTGACACCGTATCAAAGGCCTTGGAGAGGTAAATAAAAGTTCCCAAACACTACTATATTAGGAGAAATACTGTCCTTTAACAAAATCTCAAATAACGAAAAATATCATAGAGATAAAAGCATAGAAAGAACACGGGGTACAGCTGCTGAGATGGATCCGCAGAGCTCGACTGGAAAGAGACAGAGGGAACCATCTACTATCCATTTCTCTCGATGCCTAAACAGCAAGATTGGGGCTCTTATTCACTCTATGCTTTTATCTCCATAGTGCAACACCATATCTTTCATAGAAATAAGGAGAGCTATCTATTATGATATCTCTCTCAAGTGAAGCCATTTATCAGGCATCCATCTGTCTCATTCCCTGTATTGCTTCCACTTTAAGACTTACAGGCAGGTGTACCCCATGCACTCTCTATGCTTATATCTCTATAGTCGTCACTGTCGACTGTCGGTCGTAGTCAGTGTTGTCAACCTATTGAATTTTCCACTAAAACTGGTGTATTTCAACCCTCCTTTTAGTCCCGAAATTTTGAAATTTTTAAAGGAAATGCTGTAGAACGATGAGCTGTGAGAACTGCCTATCTACTTCAAGAACGTTTGATAGGAAAGGAAGGATGGGGATCGTATAGAAGTACTCAGGAAGAGAAGAATTAGACTAGACTGCCCGGATGGCGTAGTGGTTTAAGAGGTCGCCACGTCGCTTACTTCCACAGCTATAACTTCGAGGACGTAATCAAGGATGGTAACTATCATCCTATGGCTTGCAAACCATTGCGTTTCAATAGACAGACAGGATGATCGCAGATGATGATGATTGATGTCCCCTGAAGACACAGGAGAAAATTCAAAGTTGACAATATTGGGTCTGAGCAGACTAGCGATATAATTTAGCATCCGACTCTATGTTAAATGATTCGTTGAGCAGCAGAAGATAAATGAAGATTGATATCATTTAATGATCAAACCCAAATGTCCTGCTGGCGGTAGTGTCATGCTTCGGGTCGTTAATCTTGACCAATATCGGTTAGGCTACACGATGGCTGGAGCCTGTATGCCGTCTGTATGGACAGGCTGACTCAAAACTATGGTCCCTTCCTCAAAAGGCCTATCCAGACCCTATACTGTACTCGCACAGTTTTATTTAACTTTGTTTACGGACTTAAAAAAAAAAGACACCTCTGTGATTTGTTTCGGCGTTTCTTCCCAGAGTGAGTCTTAGGAAATGCCGGCTCCTTCTAGCTATAAAGTCCGACTTGTAAAAATATCTGAAAAGATTTATTTACAGAAATAAATATCATTTCTCATTTAGTACAAAACTCGGTCCGTTGTTATCTACCAATGCATAACGTGTAAAGGAACTTCCACATACTAGAGGTATTGCTCTTTAAAGATACCCAAGGAGTCAAGGGAATTCGACACTTGAGGTATTAGCGACCTTTGGTATTACTCTCTTAATACTGCCTCATTTCAATGCCGATGATGAGTTGAGAGACTATAGGTATAAACAGAGGAATAAAATGAAGTTAAATCTTTTATCTGCTGTATTAAGAATACGTGGTGGTTTGAAGTTGGAACGAAAATGCTGCAACAAATATGAAATGCCAATAAACGTTGTAAAACAAATCAGTGCCAAAGAATCGTATTAATCTGGTACCGACGATTTATATCAGCACCATGCTGACATAAACGATTAGTAACACTATTTTTAATTAAGGAAAATAGTTATCAATATACGTATAGTTTCTTTCGTAATGACTACAAAAAATAGTTATTTGAAAATTTAACGCCTATTAGAGTAGGGTCGTTTTTGGTTACTGGTTTTCTGGTGGTTTTAGATTTGAATCTGGGAGAGAGTGCGTTGAACTGTTGGCAACACTGATCGTAGTCGTAAGTCGTATCGTAGTGACTGTCAGAGTTGCAGACTGGTTCTGACGTCGCTCAAAAAAAACTGATTCAAATTTAAGCATGGTGGTTTTGTAGCACATTTTATTTTTAATATAATTTATTATTTCATTCTGTGAATTTATACAATAATCACAGAGTAGGTAAGTAAGACTCTTTTGATTACGTAAAAATGAAGAGCAAAACCGAATAGAGCTCTCTCTCTCTTCTGAGAGGCAGAGATTCATTTTACAGGGGGGCCTCATTGACTGGGAATATAATTGATTTAAAAATAAAGTTCAGTTTTCATATTTTGTAAAATGTACTTCAACAAGAAAATTTGCTAGTGTTTTGATTAAGAATGAGGAATGTTATTGATCTTTTCCTGGGCGTCGAGTGTTTTATATGACAATTTTAACAGAAAGTAATAATTTATTTTAGATTAATACTCAATATTTTAATGCTACTGGGAGAATTATATTTAATGGTTACTTATGTATTACTTGTTCTTTTTTTTCAGAACACTTTAAACCTAACTCTCACTTCCTACTTCAAAAAAAATTGAAAATGTCAACAAAATCACCATCAAAACTCCAAGAAAAAACTACACCTACTTTCTCGTAAGCAAGTTTTTATATTTGATTATTCATTGGTAAATCCATTTTTGTAGATTCTTAAGACTAGATGTCTCAGGCCTATGTATGTATGGGTGGTCAGTATACTGCCAAATCCTTAAAAGGTACCACTCCCAAAATTCTGTGACAAATTGACCTTCATTATTAATCAAACAACCTAGTCAAATCAAAAAAAAATTAAAATGTCTAGATCAGTTCCTAAAGAGCCAAAACCATCAAACCAACAATTTTTAACTTTAGATCAATAAAGCAGTAAACACAAAATTAAATTTTCTAAAAGTAAAACAATAAAAGTTCTTATTGTGTCAAGAATTTAATGTACCTAACAAATCTTTTTTAAATATTGGCAGTTTTGCTTCTGTTTACAATAAAACGTATGCTTGTTTAGACAACCAATTTAGAAGATTCTGACAGGCCTGTTGGTCTAGTGGTCAGTGGCCCTGACTGCTAAGCCGGAGATCATGGGTTTGATTCCCATACCGAACAAATATTGTGTGATAAGCACAGTCATTTGTTCTATATCTGGGTGTAATTTGTATATAATATGTATGTATTTAAAAATATATAAGTATATTTATCAGAGGTCTGGTTACCATAGTACAGGCTCTACCTAGTTTGGGATCAGACGGCTGTGTGTGAGATGTGTGAGATATATGTATATATAATATTTATCTGAAATCAATAGGGACACTTCTGTATAAACTCACAAATGAAAATGTTCTACACATTTATATACCTCATGGTGTAATTATATAAAAAAAAACATGCTTTCATATCCCCTGTGCATTCCATTGATTAAATTATAAATTTTTCCTCTTAAACTACTCAAAGTAAACAACATCTATGCATCAGTTTTAATACTTTATATAAATAAAGTATTAAAACTGTTGCTTAGATTCACCTATGTGTAAAACATTATAAATTAAGTGCTGCAGACTTATTTCAAAGCATTAAATTACAAAATTATTCAGATTAGTGTTTGCAATTACTAGACTATTAATTAATAAAATATTCCTCTTTATAAGAGAATTTTAACAAGTTTTTCAATTTCAGCAAATATAAGCATATTTAACATTGTGAGGAAAATTTACTGTTTATTTCAATTTAAATAACCTTCATCAATGATATTTTATGTTAATATTAAGTTCTTTCAAGGTTTGTAAAAACAATAAGAAACTATTTAGACTAATAAAGATTATATGGCTGTTAACTGATGGTACGACTTCAAGATAAATAGTTCTAATTACCTTGTCTGAAATATATTATTCATAATAACTTTGTGCTAATGCCTTAGGTTATGTTAGTCCACTGGCAGTTTAGACAAGATTTAGCTTATTGAAACCTTATACAACCAATACAATAAAAACGTTTTCACATATCTATATACATAGGTATAGGTGTGTCTTGTGTGTTTATTAGGAAATTACAGGTAAGTTAATATTGTTATTGATTTATTCAAGCATGTACATGTCCTCTATAAACCGGTAATAGTAATACAGAATTAGAATGTTTATATTTTTTGTTTTAAAAGGTCTACTGGCAACTGTAATTACTAGTATTCCCCTTAACCCCTCCCGCTAAGCTAAATTGCTTGTGTTAGGAGTGGGTTCGCGTCAGTAGTGCACTGGTCAGGATTCAAACCCACAACCTCTTGATTGCAAGTCCAATGCCTTCACCACCAGGCTACCGCCGCTTTTAATTCTTACTTACTTTATCATTAAACTACTGACTTAAGGTTTGTTTAAAGTAATTCAAATAAGTGTAATGTGAACATCAGGTGTAGGCACTTCATTATAGTTGTTTTTATAGTTGTATACATCCAGCGAGGTCTGGTTACTATTATATCATGACTTGTTATTATATAGAAATACTAGTACCTAAGGTTATTAAAAAGAATCTCCCTATGACTAAATTTAGCCCTAAAACAATTTAGGCTAGAGCATCTCTCTCTCTCTAACCAACTTAGGTTGGTTCAACTTGGTTGGTTCGTCTCACATGGTGGTGGGGCAGACCTCTTGGTATACTTCTTCCACTTCGTCCTGTCTCTGACGTCGTCTTCTGAAACATTGCATGCTTTCATGTCTCTCTGCAACACATCGGTCCATGTGGTCTTGGTTATGTATCTCCCTCTGGAGCGTGCTCCGGACAGTTCCAGCGCCTGGTTTCCGACGTTATCAGATGGACTCCTCCAGACATCTCCATACCACTTTATCCTACTCTCTAGCATCTTCTCCGCAATGTCGCAGACTCCCAGGCTTCCTCATATATACCTACTCAACTCGAATCTTATCCATCCTGGTTATGCCGCACATCCGGCTTACCATTTTCATCTCCGCAACACGAATGTCAACATGTCCATGCCAGGACATGTCAGTGCGTGGGTGCCCAAGTCTCACTGCCATACATTAAAACTGGCCTTATTGTTGTTTTTTAAATAAGCTCTTTCAGCTAGAGCTCTTCAAAATAAACACATGACGGACAGGGCGGCTGAATGTCACGCTATTAGTATTTACTGCATAATATGGAAGATCAAGTAGGCTGATTAGGTAGCCTACGGTCAATCGATCCGTTTGCCCTCAACTTTGGCCTCAAAATATTTTTTGCTAGAACATATTTTCATTATAATTCATTATCCAAAATAAACACAAATAAAATCGTTGTTCCTAAAATAAACTTATTTACGATCCGTCATGTGAGTAGTATACGTACACACCCTCATATAACGTCATATCCAATGTGACCAAAAGGCGACTTAACGTCTGACGATCAATATTTACTGGGCAGTATGCCAATATGAGGTTGACAAATATTCGAGTGCAATTCTCTCGAGAAGTAAGTATGTCTGCTGAAGAATAAAACAAATGCCCTTAGTTACAGAAGTTACATAATGTAGTCCAAACAGGTTTTACAATGTGATAAAAGTATTCTAAACAGATTACGTTGAAGATAAATATCTTTATCGCTTATACGCTTAAAGATTTCTACTGATCCTAATATTAATCCACCTATATACATATGTGTATTTCATAGGGAACAATAAAATTATACGGCTATTTGAAGGTATTATAATTACAACGAGTATACAACTCTTAAAGTATTTGTATTGTTTGGGTGCTTAGTGCCACTTTGACTACTTCTGAATTTTTATTACGTACTCTTGGTTAAACCCTGCGTTAATACTTCGGTGATAATCAGAGTCTTAGGTTGATAATCAGAAACCTTAGGTTTAAAATATTATGTTTGTTCTGTTTGCAGTGTACGGTAAGGGCCTGTTAGGTACTGCACATGTTATGTAATTTTGAGCTTAGAAAGGAACCCCTTTATCACTGCTTTTCAAACTTTTAGTCAAGTAGAGGATTAAATATAAACTAAGAAAATAATCACTAATTGCTGGTGATAGAGAAGAGGACAAAGAAGTAAATTTTATTATCCTCTTCCCATCCAAGAAGGCGTCGGAGAACAATGACATGTTTAAGATACTACACGGTGAAATCCAAATAAATAGAAAAAATGCAATCTAGTACAAGTTTATGATGTTAAATATTCACGATTGATCATCCATTTTCAATGGAAATTTTCACATTCAAAACCCGAATGGATTCGGAAGTTTCTTCTTTTTATACTCTCTTAAAAGTTGCAGATGGCTTTGTGAACCGCAAACATACACGAAAAATATAAAATGTTATTTCACTATCTAATTTGTAAAATATAGGCGTCGTGTAATCCATTAGAGGATGTGAACAATTTAGAAGCACAATGTATAACTGGAGCACACATTATATAACGTCGTTGAGTAGTTTAATTGTCCCATCAGGGATAAACGAATTCTAGGCCTTCTTACGAGTTACAGTAAAGTAAAGTAAAGTAAATATTTATTTTCCAAAGTTACAACAAATACATACATGAAAGTAGTTATACAAAACTGAGAAACAGACAGTGGTTTGGAACACTGATACCCAAAGTAAGATCTAACTTGTGTTATGGGTATCAGGCACAGCAAATAAATAACATTCTAGTAGCGTTAATTCGTACATTTACATTTTATTATTTTACAAGAAAACGTTCAAATTTTCAAATAACGTGAACAAATACAAAAATTCATATATCATGTGTGTGTATGTATGTATGTATATGATGTGTGTGTGTGAGTCTGTGTGTGTGTGTGTGTGTGTGTTTGTGTGTGTGTCTGTGTGCATAGCTTTCTTAAAAGTAAGATTAGAGAATGGATATTTTAAGAAGACCCTCAGTTTCCTCATATGATTTGAGCATAAGCCAATCGGATACTTTCTTCTTGCATTCAGATCTGAGCAGTGTATATATGTTGCAGTATCTATTTACTGTGTTATATAAATGACTGCTAAGCACGCCATAATGCCTGGATGCTATTGAGGTTTTCCATTTTTTATTTTGACAAACTTTATACGAGCGACGTTTGTTGGTGAAGTTTGGGTTAAAAACAAGTGAAGCATGTTTTCTAGTGACTGTTTCAAGTACGAACAGCTGTCGAACAGAAAGTACTTTACAGTCGCTGTATAGTTGGGAGGTAGAGTACCCAAAAGGCCTAAAGGTCATTACCTTTAGAACAGCCCTCTGAGCACGTTCCAAAGGCAAGACATGCGTCTTAGCCGCTCCACCCCACACTCCTATACAGTAGCCTATTATTGATTGGGCTACAGAGAAGTAGACTGTCCTAAGAATATCCATGTCTGCAGAGTGACGCAATTTGTTAAAAATATATATAATTTTACGTACTCGTGATGTTAAATTACCTAAATGACATTTCCAGTTAAGTAAATTATCAATAATAACACCTAAATATTTCACTTGGTTAGTTCTGTTTATAAACATACAGTCACAAGAAGTGTTTTCGTTTTTAAAGTTGCAGACATGTGCTTTAAGGTAATAGTCGTCTAGAGAGGGTTGAGTTATACTTGAAGTTGAGAACGTTAAGTAGGTGGTTTTGTCAAGGTTAAGTGTCAAAAAGT